TACAGTGTCCTTTGCCTTACAGAAGCTTTTCAGTTTTAGGAGTTCCCATTTGTTAATTATTGTTCTCAGTGTCTGTGCTACTAGTGTTATATTTAGGAAGTGGTCTCATTGGCAATGTGTTCAAGTCTACTTCCACTTTCTCTTCTATTGGGTTCAATGTAGCTGGATTATGTTGATCCTTGATCCACCTGGATTTGAGTTTTGTGCATGGCAATAGATGTGGATCTGTTTACAATCTTCTACATGTTCACCTCCAGTTACACCAGTACCATTTGTTAAAGATGTTTTCCTTTTTCCATTGTAACCATTTTGGCTTCTTTGTCAAAAAATCAGGTGTTCATAGGTGTGTGGATCAATGTCAGGGCCTACGATTTGATTCCATTGGTTTATGTGTCTGTTTTTATGCCAATACCAAGCTTGTTTTTTTACTACTATAGCTCTATAGCTTGAAGTCAGGGGTGGTGATGCCTCTGGAAGTTCCTTTATTATACAGCATTTTGACTATTCTGGGTTTTTTGTTTTTCTATATGAAGTTGAGTATTGTTCTTTCAAGGTCTGTGAAGAATTGTGCTGGGATTTTGATGAGGATTGCACTGACTCTGTAGATTGCTTTTGGTAAGATTGCCATTTTTAATAAGTTAATTCTACCTATCCAAAAGTATGGGAGATCTTTCCATTTTCTGATATCTACTTCAATTTCTTTCTTTAGGGACTTAAAGTTTTTGTCATACAGGCCTATCTTATTGATTTCAGCCCTCAATTTGATTATTTCCTGTCGTCTACTCCTCCTAGGTGAGTTTGCTTCTTTTTGTTCTAGACCTTTCGGGTGTTCTGTTAATTTGCTGGTGTAGGATTTCTTCAACTTCTTTATGTAGGCACTTAGTACTATGAACTTTCCTCTTAGCACTGCTTTCATAGTGTACCATAAGTTTGGGTATGTTGTACATTCGTTTTCATTGAATTCTAGGAAATCTTTAATTTCTTTCTTATTTCTTCCTTGACCAGGGAGTGATTCGCTTTAGCATTATTCTATTTCCATTAGTTTGTAGACTTTTTTGAACTTGTGTTGTTGTTGAATTCTAACTTTAGACCATGGTGATCCAATAAGATACATGAGGTTATCCCATATTTTTTTTTTGTATCTGTTGAGATTTGCTTTGTGACCCAGTATGTGGTCAATTTTAGAGAAGGTTCCATAGGGTGCTGAGAAGAAGGTATATTCCTTTTTGTTTGGGTATAATGTTCCATAGATGTTTGTTAAGCCTGTTTGAGTCATAACAACTGTTAGATCCCTTGTATCTCTGTTAATTTTCTGTCTGGCAGACCTGTCCACTGGTGAGAGTGGGGTGTTGAAGTCTCCTACTATTAGTGTGTGGGGTTTGATGTGCGATTTAAGCTTTAGTAATGTTTCTTTTTACAAATGTAGGTGCCCTTGTATTTGGGGCATATATGTCCAGTATTAACACTTCTTGATGGATTTTCCTGTGATAAATATTAAATGTCCTTCATTATCTCTTTTGATAAACTTTAGTTTGAAGTCTATTTTGTTAGATATTATACCAGCTTGCTTCTTAGGTTCATTTGATTGGAAAGTCTTTTCTAAACCCCTTTACTCTGAGGTAATGTTTGTCTTTGAAGTTGAGGTGGGTTTCTTGTAAGCAGCAGATGGATGGATACTATTTTCATATCTATTCTGTTAGCCTGTGTCTTTTTAGAGGTAAGTTGAGTTCATTGATATTAAGGGATATCAATGATCAGTAATTGTTGATCCCTGTTATTTTTGGTCATGGTATGTGTATGTTTCCCTTTTTTTAGGATTTTCTGGTGTGGGATTATCTATTGCTTGTGCTTTCCTGGGTACCGCTAACCTCCTTAGGTTGGAGTTTTCCTTCTAGTGCTTTTTGTAGGACTGGATTTGTGGATAGGTATTGTTTAAATCTGGTTTTGTCATGGAATATCTTGTTTTCTCCATCTATGGTGATTGAAAGTTTTGCTGAGTATAATAGTTTGGATTGGCATCCTTGGCCTCTTAGAGTCTGTATATAGTCTGTCCAGGACCTTCTGGCTTTGAGAAATCAGGTGTGATTCTGATGGGTCTGCCTTTATATGATACTTGACCTTTTTCCTTTGCAAATCTTAATATTCTTTCTTTATTCTGTATATTTTGTGTTTTGATTACTATGTGGCGGGAGGACTTTTTTTGCTTTCCGATTTTTGTTGAATATATTTTCTGTGCCTTTAAGCTGATATTCTCCTTCTGTTCCTATTATTCTTAGGTTTGTTCTTTTCATGGTGTCCCAGATTTCTTGAATGTTTTATGTTATGACATTGTTGGCTTTGTTGACCAATGAATCTATTTTCTCTATCGTATCTTCAAAGCCTGAGATTTTCTCTTCCATCTCTTGCATTCTGTTGGTTATGCTTGCATCTGTAATTCTTGTTCATTTACCCAGATTTTTCATTTCCAGAATTCCCTCAGTTTGTGTTTTTGTTATTGCCTCTGTTTCAATTTTCAAGTCTTGGACTTGTTTGATTTTCTTGTTTTTCTTGGCTTTCTTTAAGGGATTTATTGATTTCTTTCCATTTTTTTTGTCTTTTTCTCCATTTCTTTAATGGAAGTTTTTATTTCTTTAAGGGCCTCTATCATAAAGTTATTTTTTAAGGTTGTTTTCTTCTTCCTTGGGATGTTCAGGTTCTGTTGTTGCCATATTGCTCTTTGAGTTGTTGAATGTATTCTTGCATTGGCATCTAACCATCCCATCCTCTAGTCGGTGCAGGCAGTGTCTGACTCTTGATGCAATCTTTGCAGACAGTGCTTGTCTCTTAGGGATCCACAGTTGAGCCGATCACTGTGGTCACTGTCTGTGGCTCAGGGAGCTGCTGAGGTCACGGGGGATGGGTGGGTTGGGGATGGGAGTGGGACTTGTCGATTACAGGGTTGTGGGGGCCAGTGTAGCCTGCCTACAGGAACCTTTTCTGCTGACTGTCCAGTAAGGCTCATGATCTTAGATTTTTTTATCATATGACAACAAAGATTGATAACCACTATTTGTCATACCTAAATAAGTGAATTAGTCAGTGTGTGGGTGGGTGCTGAAGGTCCAAACAGCATGTTACTAGTTTTGGTGAGGCCCCTTCCTTCCCTTCATCACATCACAGTGAATGGTAGCATAATGGCAGAAATGTATCAAGAGGGAAATACTTCATAGAAAGATAGGAAATGGAAGAGTAATTTAGGAGTTGAGCTCTGGCTTTGATAAGAACTACTCAGGGATCTTATAAGAACTGCTGTAATCTCTTCCCAGGACAACTTCCCAGTAGCTTTCAGTAGAGGTACTACTACTTCATATCCCTCCACTGGGGAACCATTGAGGGATACTCTCAGACCATATTTAAACAATAGTATTAGGAATAAAATTTTAAATATGATATAGCTCCTTCAGGGGCTCAGGAAATGACTATTGGTAGGGAAACATAAGAGCCTGAGTTCAGATCCTAGTGTAGTAGAAACAGGCAGATCCCTGCAGCTCATTGGCTGTCCAGCCTAGTGGAATCAGTAAGCTTCAGGTTCAGGGAGAGGCCATGTTTCAGAAAATAAAGGTGAAAAACAATTGAAGAAAGGCACCTGCTGTCCGCCTCAGGCCTCCACACGTGTGCACATGGCGCATACAGACAAGATATAGCCCCTAGAAAGTTTCATAGGCTAATCGTAATAATAACTATCTCTCATTTATTTATTGAGCACCTGGTGTTAGGGATTCTAAACTTCCTTTCATTTGATAGTCACCGTAACAATATGTGTCATGTGAAGAAATGAGGAAACAACAGTTGAGATCACACACCTAGTAAGTTATGGTCATGACTTGTACCCATATTAAGCTTCCAGAGAAAAGCATGGCCTACAGGTAGATTTACCATATTACTCGTAAATTTCAGAGCCCAACATTTGTGAATGCAAGGTTTGAAATGTTCAAGATAGAATTGGAAAGCTGTATTGTAACTAGAAAACATTTCTAGGTACACATTTTGGGAAATGTTGATGACTTCTTATAGCTTATTTTGTTATAAACAAATATTCATTTTTGTAATTAAACAATATATGTCTCTGAAAAAATGAGAAGTTGAGCCATCAGAGATAACTGTGAAAGAAAATAGCATGCTGGTGCTTATCTGTAACCCCAGCACTTGGGAGGCAGAGGTTACAGGACTGCAAGTTGCCAGACAGCCTGGGCTACATAGTGAGTTTCATGCCAGCCCGAGTTACAATGTGAAACCCTGTCTCAACAACAACAACAAAATTTAAAAAGTAGCATGCTTATAAATAATTACATCTAATTTCATGTTGTTGAATCATGATATGAGGAGGAGAAGAATGACCATTTCTTGGGGTGTTCTAAGGGATTTGGACCTTATCCTATCTGAATGAAGTTTTCAACCTCAGTGGTACATAAGAACTGGTAGATCTTGGGAAGATCTGACTAATTTTTATTTTTAAAACCCCAGAAATTGGTCAGATACATAACGAGGAATGGTATATGCAACAAAAAGCTATAGCATCTGGACCATAGAAATAAAATAATAAGTGTGTATCTTTAAGGCTTACATGGATGAAGAGGGAAACAGCATGGTCCAGACCAGTGATTACATAATAATGCATTATTAGTTCTCATAAATCCTATGTTGAAACATATTCTTAGGATATGTGTTTGTCACTGCTTTTAAAAGCACAGCTTTTGTTTCTCTGTTATTTATTTCATTAGAACAGATTTCCAGGAGTAATTCTGTTGAGTCAAAAGAAATGAGTAGTTTGTCCTCAATAAATTATTGCAATGTTTTCAGTATGCCAAATAGGATGTTTAGAATAATTTTGCTAGAATTGAGAAAAGAACTATTAGAATTTTTATTACACTAATATTATTTTGAAATTGGCCATAAATTATCAAAACTATGTTTATATTGTATTTACAGCATTATTTCATAACTGAATTTATCTTTAATAGATTGATGAACTCCCAGAGGGAGCTGTGAAGCCTCCAGCCAACAAGTATCCTATCTTCTTTTTTGGTACCCATGAAACGTAAGTTAACAAAATAGCTTAAAGTTTCAACAGCCCTAATTTGACTCCACTAGAATACATACTTATACATGATCTATATTATTTTATATGTTGCTAAGTCATATCCACTTACAAAGTAACCAAACTTAACACATTTTTATTACTGTAAGGTGTATTTTTATTTTTGCATGTTGTAACTAAAAACACAACAGAAGCAACTTTAGGAAGAAAATATTTATTTTGCCTCATAGCTTCAGGGGATTTCAGTTCATTATAGCAGAGAAGGCATGGTGGAATCTGTGTCAGCAAGAATATTTAGTGATAGGTTTTTACACGGTAGACTGGGACATGTAGAAAAAGGCAAGCCAGGAGCAGACATGGGTATAGATTAAAAGGTATGTTTCTAATGACTTATCGTTCAGGCCTCACCTCATAAGACTCCACAACTTCCCAAATTAGCATCACCATCTGGGAACGAAATGTTCAAACGTATGAGCAGGGGAGAAGGGGCATTTCAAATTCAAACCATAAAATAAATTTATTCATAGAAGTCTTGATTACTGAAAGTACATCTTTGCTTTGAATGCTGTTTCTGTTTCTATAAAAGAATTGGTTATCAACCCAAGGTCTCCTTTCAGGACACTTGAAAAGTCCTAGAGTGATTGACTTACCACTCCTAGTGACCCCTTTTGGAATTCTGTATATGTCCCCTTTAGAGAAGCTTCTTTCACTCATTTTTTATAGGACAAATTTATGTTCTCTCAAGCTCTTCCAACTTTAGACCTATAACAAATGCACTGCCTTTTTAAGGTTTTCTAATTATGTTTGTTATATATAGATTCAAGTAATATAGACATTTATTTATTTTGCAATAATACAGATTATTAGGGTGGATAGATAGATTTGCTCTAAGAATTCAGCTCTCTCTCTCTCAGACCTTACCATTCCTTATATGCTTGTTTGTGAGAGCCTTGCTGTGTAGACCAGATTGACCTTGAACTTACAGAAATCCCCCTGCTTCTGCCTCCCAAGTGCTGAGGTTAAAGTCATTTGCCTTCACAACCAGCTTGTTTGATTATTTTTAAATATTAACATGCTTCAGTTGTACAGGTGCATCTTCTAGGGAGAGAGAAGGAGCGAGGAAGAGTGAAAAACAAGGATGCCTTGTAAGGAAATGGCAAGAAAGGTCCATAGATCACTTCTGCTTACAGTCATTCCATTGACAAGAATTTGGTCATGGGGCCACACACAGCTAAGGGGATGCTATTCTAAAATATGAGAGAAGTAATCTCTTAATGAAAAAAAGAAGAGAATGGCATTAGGGGATAGCTGGCAGTCTTGCCACACCCTGACTATATCATTTATTTTCATTTAAATGCTAGCAGAGTTTGGCATGAATCTTAGCTTGCTACCTCTCCCATTCTAACATCACTTTATTCAAGTCCTGAAAGCACCGGGATAAAGTCCTGAAGACAGAGATTTATTTTCTTATGTTAGAAATAGTGTTTATCTTCAGGAAATATTTTGTAAGGGCGTTTTGGTATTGTTTTGAGTTTAGTTTGTTTTGGCTTAGTTTTGTTGTTTGTGGGGAGTTTTTGAGTCTGTCTGTGCGTGTGTGCATACGTGCCTGTTGCTGGACTAGCTGCAAGTCCTCAAGGAGGCAAGAACTCTACAACTAAGCTAAACCCAAGCCTGATTTTCATCTAATAATCACTGGGTATATGCTGTTTCTTAAGTTGCTAGAAAGCTTAGAAGTAAATGTTTTACCTATAAATACATAATGCTTTGTGATATGTATTTTATTTATTTCACTCCTGACCTTATTTTATGTGCATACCATTGTTCTGATTTTTCCTTTGAATAACCTGTTCCAAATTATCTGGTTACATTTTTGGGACAAGGCAGAAGTTAATTAAAAAAAAAAATCACACTAGTACTGTGTGCACCATTTACTAACATTATGTGTTTACTTTTATTACCTTGGTATTTGTTTTTTAAGGCATTCTGTGAGTCACTGGAAGTAGAAAGGTGCCCTTAAAGACCTGCCAGCTGGCACATATGAACTTTAGTCAGCTTAACCCAGTTATTTCTTCTGCATATATGGATCAACGATAGTAGAAACTCAAAAACCAGAGTAATATTTCCTGCCAAGTTTCCTTGAAGTGAATATACAGTGTACTTTTTTTCTCATGTTCATGTTGTTCATCAAATAAGATTTCAACCTACCCACCCCTCAAATTTTATTCTTGGTTTTGTGTTTTGAGCATATTCATTTCCCCTCCCCAACTCATCCTGGGCCCACACCTCCTTCCCTATTACTCAACTTTGTATCTTTTCTTTTTAAGCCTTCAAGACCAATTTGTGTTGGCCAAATATTTTTGGATGCATGGTGTCTTAGTTAGGGTTTCCATTGCTATGAAGAGGCACCATGACATGGCAACTTGTATAAAGGAAGAATATTTAATTGGGGTGGCTTAATTTTCAGAGGTTTAATCTATATTGTCATGGTGGCATGCAGGCAGACACAGTGCTGGAGAATTACCCAAGTGTCCACACTGGGTGTGGCTTGAACATATGTGAGACCTCAAAATCTGCCTCCACAGTAACACACTTCTCCAACAAGGCCACAGCTCCTAATAGTACCACTCCCTTTAGAGGGCATTTTCTTTAAAACCACCACATGCGGTCTTCCTGGATTATGGTTGACTACCAGGTTACATTCTTAGATAAAACTGTCTTTCCTTTCCCCTTATAAATAGGATCTCACATAGCCCAGAATGGGCTCAAACTCCTGCCTCCACCTCCCATGTGCATTGTAAGTGTATACCAACTCACAGTATAAATAGAGTTGTTAGTTTATTTTTATCAGCTGGACAGTGTGAGAGGTCATTGCAATGCCCAGTCAGAAAATGAAATTTATGAATTATTTTAGCATGTTGACTGGAAGGTTTCAGTATTAACTTTTTCTGATTTCTAAATTCCTGTCTCTAGCTCATAGTTTTCTTTCCTCTCCAAAATCATCTTTCTAACTGCCTACTTGATTTCTTTTGAATGTCTTAACTAGGACTTCTGGTTTTACACCTAACAATGAGCTTCACCCCAAATCTTTTCTTTCAAAAGTAAAATCGTAACATTTCCATAAATAAGAACTCCAGCTTTCTTATTTCTCATTCTGAAACCCTAAACATAGCCTCAAATTCAGTTTCTCCATCAAAGGTTCTTTCCTAAGAATGAATTCTGGATTTGAATATTTCTTCACCAACTGTGCCCTGGCCTAAGTTGCCATCATTACTTTATTTCAGTAACTTTCTGTTACTTCTTGTTTACATCCTAGTACCTAACCTTCACTTGGTTTCCAACATAATAGCCAAATGATGCCATTAACACATCTCAGAGCCTTTTGTGGCTTCCCATATTAATTCCTTTGCAGTGAGCTCCAAGGCCCTAAATCATTTTTCGCTAACCTGTTATCTCTCTAACCTTATCAATACTGGTTTATTGTTACTCATTTCATTCTAGCTGCACTGGCCTCTTTTGTGTTTCTTAGACATATAATTCTTTCCCAGGTAACAGCACAGATGATTCCTTCACTTCGTTTACTTAGATGTTCCCTTTCTAGTGATACTTTCCCTAATCTTTAAAGCTAAAATTGTAGAAGTCATCCCTAATCTGTCCATCTGGGATGGCTAGCTTGAATTGTCAACTAGATTCACCAATAAAGACTCATCAGGGAAAGAGTTTCAATGAGAGATTATCTAGAGTAAGTTGGCTTGTGGGTATGTCTGTGAGGGGTTTTCTGAATTGGTTATTTGAGCTAGAAAGACCCACCCACTGTGAGAGCATCATTCCCTAAGATGGATTTGACTATAAGAGTGGAGTGGGTTGAGCATCGTCATGCATGCATTAATCCCTTGCTCTCTGTTCTACACTGTGGATGTGATGTTTCTAGCTGCTTCAAATCCCTTGACTTCCCTACAATGATGGATGATAACCTCAGTTGTAAGTCAAATAAACCCTTCCTTCCTTCCTTAAGTTGCTTTGTCAGGATGTTTTGTCACAGCATCAGGAAAAGAAACAAAGACCCCATCCTTCTTTGAATACAAGAAATATATATTTTGTTTACATTTTAATATTTCTACTGTCAGCACTACTATCAGCAACTTTGCTTCCTGAATGCAGCAATGGCTGTGCTGTATTCTTTGTGAAATTCCCAACACCATTGCAATAATGTCTGACACATTATAGGTGTTTAACTGGTATTTGTGAAATTCATAGGTACATAAACTTTCATTTGAAATGTCTCAAGGATGTGAGCCTCAGTAGTTTCACTCACTAGATTAAGATCGAAAAAATGTGCTAATGATTCTTTTTTAGAGTGCCTCAGTCTGTTAGCTATAGAATTTAACTACTTTTTTAATGCTTACAATTAATTTAGTTAAGAAAGATTTAAGTTAGATATGATTCTGTTTACTTTGCTCCTTCTGGGTTGTTGTCCTTCCCCCTTTACCCAGAAATAATATTGGCTAAATATTCTAAATTAGTACACAGAATTAAATCATTGTATTTCAGTATTTAAATTCCTTTTATAAGTCTCACAAACTGTCACCTACAGTAGGATTAACATAAATACTAGTTTAAAATGATGATTGAAGCAATCAAAGTAAATAACTCTAGTTCTACCTTTGTAACTAGAAAGCAATTGTAAAGCATATTGGTAATATTAATGTAAAGTCAAAATTGTACAGTCCAGAGTTGCTGACTTTACATACTCAACTATCCATTTTATTGTTTTGCAATATATTTCTAAAGCATCTTGTGATATGTGCTCAACCCACAGGATTTGTATATACTTTAAATATGTTTATTATAATGTGCTTTGACATCATATTTGATCCTGATATTTAAAATACCTTGTATTTGAAGGTCAGCATGTCAGTTCTATTTCTGATCTATCTCTGCAGTGCATTTCTAGGTCCTAAAGACCTTTTCCCATATAAGGAATACAAAGACAAGTTTGGAAAGTCAAACAAACGGAAAGGATTTAATGAAGGATTATGGGAAATTGAAAATAACCCAGGAGTGAAATTTACTGGGTACCAGGTAATAGTTTGCATCACAGTCTCTTGTACTCTTATTCCTTGCTTTTAACTCTTATGCATCTTTGTAAAATGTCCTCCATGTTAGTACTTACCTTCTATTCATTTGAAGTCAGAGTTCTTCTTTGGCAATAGCAGCATTTTTTTTATTATTATTATTAAGTACCAACTCTTGCTCAGAAGAGCCTGAGTTAAGTGGCCATTGAAAAATTGACTTTGGCAGCCATTTGGTTCATTAATTGAATCAAGATTTCACATGCTACTGAGGTTAGCTTCAAATTCTTGGCTACAAGCAACCCTCCTACCTCAGCCTCTCAAGTAGCAGGAATTAGAAATGTGTGCCACGATGCCTGGCTATCATAGTCCTTTATTTTGAAAATGTTAAAAGTAGGCCAAAGTCTTTGAAATTGAAACAGAATGTGTTTCCACAGTTTGTGTTCTTCATCTTTTTCAAACTGTAATTGGCTACCTTTTTTCTTTAGACAATTCAGCAACAGAGCTCTTCAGAAACTGAGGGAGAAGGTGGAAATACTGCAGATGCAAGCAGTGAGGAAGAAGGTGATAGAGTAGAAGATGGAAAAGGCAAAAGGAAGAATGAAAAAGGAGGCTCAAAACGGAAAAAGTCCTACACTTCAAAGGTCACTGAAAATCTCCCTCCTGGTTGTAATGTTTCATGCATACTCACTAAAGACTTTCAAATTGGGTGGGAGGTATAGCTCCTTGGCAAAGTGCTTGCCTGGAACATGTGATTCAGCCTTACCCCCCACCCCCCTAAAAAACTACAAACGTTAGAGGCAGTAGTATACCAGAGAGAGAAAGACAGAAAGCCGAGGTATTAGGGAAGCTGTTACTGATTCTTCAAGGCTGATCTGCCCTGTATGCTTAGTTGAAGAAAGAAGGTTAAGCATATAGGCTTCGCTAGACACTGAGTTGAACCAGGTGTGCAGAAAAGAGGAAATCCGATTCCATAAAAAGGGAAAGGGGGCATAATAAACAAGTAAATAATAAATAAATGTAAATTGTGAAAGGCAAATGAATGAAAACACAGTAGAAAAGTGAAGGTGAAGTTTATGCTAAGATTTGAAAGAAGGGTATGGGAGGGGAACCATGTGTGACCGAAGGAAAGAAGCAGCAGGAAAACTGAGACGGGGAAGGTCAGACATGTACCTGAACTCAGCACAGGTGTCCCTAGATCTTCACACAGGTAAATGCTAAATAGTACAGACTTGCAAGGTGTATTAATGAGTTTGGATTTTATTCTAAATGTAACAGCAGTGACATGATGGTAGATTTACAAATGGAAAGACTAGGTTTGTTATACAGTATTTTAGATGTGCAGTCACAAAAAGAACTCATGAGATTTGTGAAAACTTTTTGTCCTTTAGAAACTAAAAGTGAGATAAATGAATCCTTGAAGACCTAAGATTGGTTTAGGATTCATTAGAGACTGCCACATGATTGAATACTTGAAGAAATTATTTCTGTTTTGATTCTTGTATTTATTGACTGAGAAAACAGGTACCAAGAGCTTCTCAGACTATTAAAATTTTACCTTGGCAATTGTTAAAGCCCACCTTGCTGACATTGTTATTTCCTGTGTACCTTGTGCTATGTACTGTGAACCTAATTGATTACTAATACGATTTCAGGGGCTGGAGAGATGGTTCAGTAGGTAAAATGCTTACTGCACAAGCATCTGAACCAAGTTTAGATAACCTAGCACCACCTAAAGTCTGGGCCCATGTGCCTGTAACCCTGAGCTGATAGGGTAGATGACACAGGATGATCCCTGGAAGAGCCTTTCTGGTCAGCCAGGCTAGGAACTCCAAGTTCAGTAAGAGACCCTACCTAAAAATACAAGGTAGATTCAGGCCATTTGAGGCTATCTGTGCTCTGCATACATATAGGCAGCACTAAATGGATGCAATAGGTACTAAATTTAAAAAAAAGAAAAAAGAAAAAGAAAAGCACAAGCATGTGCAGTTAGGAGGGAAAAATAGTGGGAGGGGTAGAGGAGGAGTGGGGGACACACACACACACACACACACACACACACACACACACACACCAGACAACAAAAATGATTGCCTTTGATGGGATAAAGTTTACAAATGATAAGAAAAAATAAGAATTTCCCCTCTCAGACTGTTTCTTCCATTGCAGTTATTTTAAGCTGAATTTATTTTAGCATTTGGGTTTCACTTAAACATCCCTTTGAGTTATTTTTACTTAATTGATTGCCTGCTGAGCTTGTATGGAATATGTTTGCAACCCTAAATTATGTAAAAGCTACATAAGGCTTTGAAGTCTTTTAACAATGGATATATTACCTTTAAATATCACTATTTCATTGCATGTTTCAAAGATCAACAGTACCAAGACTCATAGCTAGGATAGAGTTAACATTTTATAGCAGTGAAGGTGAGGGCTAAAGTCTATCTGTTTAAAGGATGATTTAGTTTTACTTAAATAGAATTAATTTTATTTAATTGCAATTTTTATGATCACTTAAGAACTATGTTTAGCAGGGCGTTGGTGGCGCAGGCCTTTAATCCCAGCACTCGAGAGGCAGAGGCAGTTCGAGGCCAGCCTGGTCTCCAGGGTGAGTGCTAGGATAGGCTCCAAAGCTACACAGAGAAACCCTGTCTCGAAAAACCAAAAAAAAAAGAAAACAAAACCTATGTTTAAATTTTTTAGTTTTTTATTTAAATCAGAAACAATCTTTTTTTTAAAAGATTTTATTTATTTATTTATTTATTATGTATACAGTTATCTGCATGCTTGCACACCAGAAGAGGGCACCAGATCTCATTACAGATGGTTGTGAGCCACCATGTGGTTGCTGGGAATTAAATTCGGGTCCTCTGGAAGAGTAGTCAGTGCTCTTAACCTCTGAGCCATCTCTCCAGCCCCTGAAACAATCTTTATTTTATATAGCAATCCCAGTTCCCTCACCCTCCCATTCTCCCATGCCCCCCACCAACTCCCCATCCCCATCCATCCCTCTTCTGCTCCATAGAAAGGATGAAGCCTTCTGTGGGGGACCGTCAAAGTCTGTCACATCATTTAGGGCAGGGCCCATGCGTCTAGGCTGAGAGAGTATCCCTCTATGGGGAATGGGCTCCCAATGTCCATTCATACGCTAGGGATAAATGCTGTTCCATTACCAGGAGTCCCATAGACTGTCCAGGCCTCCTAACTGACACCCACGTGCAGGGGGCCTGGTTCAATCCTATGCTGGTTTCCCAGCTATCAGTCTGGGATTCATGAACTCCCCCTTTTACAGGTCAGCTGTTTCTGTGGGTTTCCCCAGCATGGTCTTGACTCCTTTCTATGTTTAATTTTTTGCTATTGCTGGTTTTGCACAATGAGAAGAATTAAACTCAAGATCTTGTGCGTACTAGGCAAGTACTCTACTGAACTACTACCCAGCCCAGAATTCTTACTTTTTAATACACATTTGTGTGTTGAAGTAGAGGTTGGGTGCTTGGGTTTTTTGGTTGCTTCCTTTTTGGTTTTGTTTTGTTTTCCTTGTAGAGGGTCTATCTCTATAATCCAGGCTAGCCTGAGACTCAATTTATATCAGACTAGCCTTGAACTCATGCAGTCTTCCTGTCTCAAACTCCTAAATGATGAGATAACAGTTATGAGCCAGGAAGCCCAGTCACACTGTGAGTCTCAAGCTTTCACATGTATCAGAATCCTGTGAAATGCTGTTGACATGTCTTAAGACCACCCAGAACTGCTGTTTGAGAACTTTTAGGAAAGGACAGGGAATCCAGTTTATAAGTCTGCTGATATGGAAATGACACTTGCAGAACCACTTCCTACTGTAACCCTATTACTCTGTCTGGATTCCCAGTGGGTTTTTTGTTGTTGTTGTTTTTGTTTTTATTGAATATGGTGAATTTCTCTTAAAGTTGAATAGTCTGCCTTTGCACTTAAAAACTAGTAGTCTATAAACCTGTAACATCTCAGTTAGGTAAAGGGATTATCTCACATCTCTACCTAATTTCATTTACCTGTGAGGGGGAAAAAAAACACAATAATCAAAACAAAAGGCCAAAGTACAGCAGATCTGAGGAAAATTATTTATCTTTTAACAGCAAGTGTATAGCTGATTCATGTTAAGCAAGCACTAGCAGATACTGGGAAAATGTAAATTAAAAGTATTTTGTAGGCAAACGATTAAACAGTTAAGGCTTGTTAGATCTTTACAACAAATTAAAACTAGTAAAGATGCTAAAAAAGCAATAATTTTCATTAACAAAGCAACAGTTATACATAAAACCAATTCAGGACCACTGATAAAACAGGTCATAAACACCAATTTAAAAGAAACTTATAGGAATTATGACCTGAAGAGCTTTACAAAGTTAGTTTGGTAGCCAGATTTCCTGCTAAGATACTAAATATTGTCACTCTTTAGTAGAAGTCCAATAATGCCCTAGTTCCTATAGTGTGAGACTTGGTATTTGTATCAAGCCAAGTGCTGAGAAGCATAAACTCAGGGTTACTCACAAACACCCTGCACAGGCAATGTATATTATGATGTTGTGTATTAGGCTAAGAGTGGCAAGTCAGGACTGTTATTTGAGTATAACTGGATAATACAGTTAGCACATTTCAACTGTTACATAATATTTACTAGAGTGAAAAAGTTACTTTTTAAACTGTTATATGGGATCTTTAGCTGAACACACTCCAAACTTTGTAAATAAATCTGTTTTTAATCTAAAAGGTAAACTTGATAACATTTTAAACTAACATTTTGGATGTGGTTGGTAGTTTTAATCAAGTAAAACAGAAGCAATCTAATTATATGTTCTGTCATGTAACTAGATCTTTCTCTTTGTAGTTTATATTTATTTCATGTGTGTGTTGCTTCCATGTATGTGATTACAGCACATGTGTGTATTGCCTACAGAGACCAGAATGGGGCATTGGATCCCGTGGAGCTGGAGTTACGAGTGGTTGTTAGCCACCATTTCAGTGCTGGGAATTGAACCAGGTCCTCTGCAAATAAGCTCTTTTAACTATGGAGCCACATCTCCAGCCAATCTTGGCATTTACAAAAACAGATTATTTATATATAAGGGGCTGGAAAGATGGCTCAGAAGTTAAAAGCACTTACTGTTCTTGTAGAGGACCAGAGTTTGATTCTCATCACTCACATCAGGCTGCTCACAACTGCTTATACCTGTACACAGACACACACACACACACACACACACACACACACTCTCTCTCTCTCTCTCTCTCTCTCTCTCTCTCTCTCTCTCTCTCTCTGATTGTATGACGGGGCTCCAGTTTACTAATTCATTTCTGGAATGCCAAAAAAGATGATTTGGTTTAGTTAGGTTACCTTAGTTTTTGTTTTTAAGAACTTGAAGATTGATTAAAAATTATTTCCCCTCTCCTCTCTTTTTTTCCCCTAGAAAAATGGTCTCAGTAGCCCAGGTTGGTCTCAAACTCATTATGTAACCCAATCATGCCCTTGAACTCTACCTCCCAAGGACTGGGTTACAGACATTCACCCTCATGCCCAGTATATATAGTGCTGGGGATCAAACACAGGGTTTCCTGCATGGTTGTCAGGCACTGCTAACTGAGCTACAATCCTAGCCCTTAAATCTTCAGAGAAATATGGATTCAATAGATAAAAGGGCAAGGTAGTCAAGTTCAAAACACATTAAGGGGACTGCATTTGAACAAGCAGCTTAGCTTTCGTATTTCTACCTAGCGGTCATATATACAAGATTATTAGTCATTGTTTATTGTTTATATTATTGAACTTGCTTTTTACTTTAAAAAAAAAAAAGAAAAAAAGCTTCGTAAGAGCAGTCATTATGCTGACTCAGTTGGTAACTGCACTTGTCACCAAGCCTGATGACCTGAGTTAGACTCAGGAGCCACATGCTGGAAGGAGAAAACTGGCTCCCACAAGATGTTCTCTGACTTCCACACAAGCCATGGCAGGTGTATGCACGCATACAAATACATAATTCTAAAATATTCAAAAAAGTCTTTTAAAAGGAAATGTTAAAAATGCTAACATCTCACCATTATAAATACAACACACAATTGAAGCCATCTTTTTCTAACTTTAGTACTGTTTTGCCAAGCAACTTTTGCTGCAAACTATAATTTGATTTCAAATTCAAGATGACAAAGAAAATGGATTGGTTCACCAGTATATCCTTAGTGTTTAAGTAATTATGTACAGTTTAAAGATAAATTGCTTATGTTGTGCTGTGATGTAATAACTTTTTAGGTCTTTCTGTGTATGTCCCTAGCCAAACAGCTGCAGAAGGTATTCTACCTTCGATTCTCGGCACCTTCATTTCTATTACTATAATGTGACTTTTAGTTCTCATGTCTCCTAAGGTGGTAGGTACTCACCCAGTTGTATTTAGTCATGCTGTGAGTATCTGGATAGTATAGTTTTTTTGTTTGTTTGGTTTGGTTTGGTTTTTGAGACAGGGTTTCTCTGTGTAGCCTTGTAGACCAGGCTGTCATCGAACTCACAGAGATCTACCTGCCTCTGCCTCCCAAGTGCTGGAATTAAAGATGTGCGCCACCACCGCCCAACCTATATTCTAGTTTTTAATATCACACTTCTTGCAAGAATTAGGTGATTGTCTAGCCCATATCTGCTTCCTTTCCAGCTAGTTAATCGAGGCCCAGAGAAGTAAAATGCCTTGTCCAGCATCACCTACCCAGCCTTGGCACCCTGAATGTGTTCTTTGAATGTGCTACATGGAGCCACATAGACTACATGCAAACCAGCTCCCTATGCACCTCTTTTCTAACATTTGTGCATTTTGGAGCTCTGCTTTTGACTCTAATTTTTAACTTGTCTAAATGTTTAGAAGTCTTCTAAACAGTCCCGGAAATCTCCAGATGAAGATGATAAAGATTGCAAAGAAGAGGAAAACAAAAGCAGCTCTGAGGGCGGAGACGCCGGCAATGACACAAGAAACACGACTTCAGACTTGCAGAAAGCTGGTGAAGGGGTGAGGATGTGCTGATGATTTCCTTATCCCCTGTTAACCTAGAAGACATTTCCCTTTGGACTCAGTGTCCATGGCTTAGTGTTGGTAGACATGCAGTTTGTTGTATCCATTCACAAAGCCTGAATGAGTGGTCAGATGTTTAGAGTCTGAAGACAAAAGAGCCATGTGTTTTGGAAAATTGGAACTCTGAATATTTATTATTTTTCAGACTACTTTAGCAACTTCTGAGTATTTTAAAAAGTAGTTTGCAAATTATTGAAATTGAAATTTAACAGTTCTGTTTCTTTTATCACAAAGTCAGCGTCATATCCAAAATTAGAATATAAGTCTTCAAGCTGTATTTGAATACTGATATTTAAAAGACCTATAGAAACGGATTTACTTACTTTGACTCTTGGTAACTTCTGTTGACTTTAGCATTGCAGGCAGGTCCACATTTGTAAAAGTGGTAGTAAAGGTAGTTTGTGAACCGGGCATTTCCCATAGCATCTTTCTCTCTAGACCAGTTGTCTTCAAATAATAACCAATGACGGCTGAGCACTTGAGTTGTACAGCACTTGCCTAACAGGGTTGACTCCCATCACTACAGTGGCTGAATGAGTGGGTGAGTGGTGAAACCTGTGAAGTACACTGCTACTCCTCTATTACACTCTGATTTTATATTGTTCTTTCCTGTTCATATCAGTCCTGCTTGCCTGTCAGCATTTTCTTTCTTCATCTCAGTTATCTGCCATTACTCTCGAAGTACACTATTAGTTGTTCTCTTACTCCTATCACTCAGGTTATCCTTCCTCAACTTTCTCCTCCTCCTCCTCTCATTTTTTGAGACAGGGTCTTGGCTGTGTACCCTGTCTGGGCTAATACTCTCTGTGTATCTCAGACTGGTCTCAGATTCATGGCACTTGAGCTTCAACCTCCCGAGTGCTTGGTCTGCAGGGTGCATCACCACACTTAGACTGTCTCCTTCTCTTGCAGCATTTAATACCATTGGGCACTTTCTCCTCCTGACTTTGCTTACCAGTCACCATTCTCTTCTGCTTCCTCCATCTCCTAGAGCTCTCCTTCAGGCTGTCATGGTATGCTTCCTTAAAAGTCCCCTTATCCACTGGTTGTGCATGCCTCTAATCCCAGTACTTGGGAGGCAGAGGCAGGCAGTTAGAGGCCAGCATGGTCTACAGAATGAATACCAGGACAGCCAGGGCTACACAGAGAAAACCTGTCCTAAAAAACAAAGAAAACAAAAGTTCCTATTTTTATTTTTATCAGCACTGTTCAATTTGGCTTGTTTATGAATATTTTTTAATAATGACATTTGCTCACTACTGTGCTCTTTAAGGTTCATTTGTTTGACTATATTATATGTAGTAGCATTTTTTATTAAAAAAAGTTATTACTCAGGGGTGGGAGTTTGTCACAGCTTGCCATAGTGCATGATAGTGGTCCCAGGACAACTTTGAACAATCATACTCCTGAATGAAGCCTGGGAATCCAGCTCAGATCTTGGGCTTAGCAGAAAGTACCTTTACTCACCAAACCATATTGTTAGCCCTTATTCATTTTTCATTCTATATAATGCTCAGTTTATATAGCATATATAATGCTATGTGAATATGCCATAATTTATATATTCAGTCTACTATTAATGGGTATTTGAACTATTTCCAGCTTTGGGCAGTTTAGAACTATATTGTTGTAAGTGCTTTGTCTCCTAGTATACATGCTCAAATTTTCTTATGCAACTAGAACTAAAGATACTGAAGTGCAAGTTTATGGCTTTCATTTAACCAAGTCACTTTCTGGAGGAGTTGACCAGTTTATGCTCAGTACAAGAGTGTATTAAAGTCCCCAGAGTTAACTTGGTGTCATCTGACTTTGACTTTTGACAATATATTGGTGTAAAATAGTTATTACAGTAAGAATTTGTAATACAGTATGATCAGTAATAAGTTTCGTTTTATGTTTATCAACTGGCCATGTTTCTTCTCCATGATACACATTTCCAGGGTTTTGCCTATTTTCCCGTTAGACTTTTTTCTTACTCATTTATAGGACTTTGCTTATGCTATACAATACTGTTTAATGTTTGTGTCTTATACTTTTAAAAACATACTTTCTTGATTTTATTTATTCAACTGTACACTTTGTGTGGTTCGTATTTTCTGTCTTTGAGCATAACCATTTAAACCATCTTATTGAAATCATCTGTCACATAGCAGGAGTTTCTGTCTGTGCTCTCTTATGTTCCTTTTACCCACTCTTAAGTTATAGTAGCTTTCTAATGAGTCATGGTATATCATAAAGCCAATCTTTTAAGTATGTAATAGTTATGAACTGGGTAGAATGTCAGAGGACCTTTTTTCTTGATACAGAAATTTTTAAGAATGGTTTAATGGATAGATTATCAAAGGAAAAGTTTCTGGAGCAGTGTCCTTTAAAAGGCAATAGAAGCATGAGATGAGTACACATCGTGAGGGAGTGTTAGGGCACAGATACAGATAAGTGGGTACTTGGGAAGAGAGCTCATGGAAAATTCTTGTGTGATTGCTTCTACTTTCTAAGGAAGCAAGGTCATCATTTGAGAGAGTGAAAGAAAAAGTTAAAGTTTCACAAGAGAGGAAGAGGTTTAAAATAGTCACTTAGAAGAATAAGACAGTGTATGGACTTGAGAAATGACAGTGATTGTTAAGGCAGTGGGACCAGCTTGCAGCTGGTGGGCATGAATTTGAATTTGTTAAGGCAGTGGGAATGACTGTTTGTTCCAGGCAGATTGCTGTGCAGGCACACAAAGGGCAGAGAATTCATTTCGGCTGGAGTGCAGTACAGGAAGTTGAGGCCAGGGGGCTGGGGTGGGGGTAGAATCCAAAATATGTTAATTTATTAATTGGATTTTTTTGGTGTTCAGTTTTTGCAATTTCTCATACATTCTAGATACTAACCCCCTGGGAAATGTATAGTTGGCTAAAGTTTTTTCCCAATATAGGTTGTCTTTCCACCTTCCTGATCCCTTCCTTCACTGTAACAGGAGCTTTTAGTTTTATATGATCCTATTTATCAGTCCTTGGAATTATTTATTATGATGTTAAAGTCTTCAGAAAGTCATTGCCTGTGTCTTGAAATATTCTGCCTGTTTTCTTCAGTTTTTTTAGGTTAAAAAAAACTGTTAAGAATTTCATACATATATATAATGTGTTTTGCACACTTTCTATTTCTTCCCCTTCAGTTCCTGCCCTATTCCTTAACACCACTTTCTCCTCTCAGCTCTATATGCTTTTTTCTCTAACATTTTCAAATTACTAGGTTTTATATAAAAGTCTTTGATCCCATTTTGTATTTACTTTTATACAGAGTGAGATACATATTTAGTTTCATTCTTCTATAGGTGTATATCCAGTTTTCCTAGAACCATTTATTGAAAAGGCAGTTTCCTCCTAATATATGTTTTGAAAAGAATGAAAATTGGATGGCTGTATCTGTGTGGCTTTATTTCCTGGTCCTCTGTTCTATATTCTGTTGGACTTCATATCTGTTTTTGTGCTGATACCATACAGCTTGTGTAGCTCTGTGGTAGAGTTTGAGATTAGGTATTTTGATACCTCCAGCATTATTCTTTCTGTTTAGGATCACTGTGGCTAGTTGGGGTCTTTTTCGTTTCCATCTGTATTTTAGGATTGTCTTTTCTAATTCATTGAACAATATAATTTTGGGGGTTTGGTTAGGAATTGTATTTCGTATGTCTATCACTTTCAATAATGTAACCATTTTCACAATAGTGATTCTGCCAGTCCATGAGCTTGGAACCCCTTCTGTCTCCTGGTTTCCAGTTTCTTTCTTCAGTGTCTTAAAGTTTTCTTTGTCAAGGTTTCCCACCTCCTTGGTTAGTTTTATTTCTGGGCATTTTACTTTTCATGGAACTATTACAAGTAGGAGGTTTTCTCTGATTCTCAGCAAACTCATGATGAGCTTATAGCAAGTTTTCTGATTTCTGTATGTTGTTTTTGCATCCTGCTACTTAATGTTTATGTGGCCTAAGGGTTTTCTGGTGAAACCTTTGAGATCTTTGAAGTATACGATTATCAGCTGCATGTAGGAATGATTTCTTCCCTCCCTACTTTCAGCCTTTTTATTTCTTTTCTTACGAGTAGTAGTGTTCTAAAAAGCACTTACATTCGGAATCTGTCTAGTTTTATTCTGTTGCTGTGATAAAACACTGGCCAAAAACAACTTGAAGAGGAAAGGGTTTATTTGGCTTACATTTCAAGTCATAATCCATCCTTGAAGGAGGTCAGAGCAGGAACTCAAGCAAGGCAGGAGCTTGAAGAGGAAGCCATGAAGGAATGCTGTTTGTGGGCTCACAAACTGTCTTTCTCACTGGTTTGTGGTCAGCTAGCTTCCATATACAGCCCAGGACCACCTGCCCAGGGATGGTGCTGGCCACTGTAGGCTAGACCCTCCCACATCAATCATCAGTCAAGGCAGTTGCTCCGGAACAAGGCCACAAACAATCTGATTTGGGTAGTCTCTCAGTTGAGACCTCTGAGATGATTCTAGGCTGTGTCAAGTTGACAGCTGGTGCTGACGAGGACGGAATCTGAACTATTCAGATTTTGGTTCAATACAATCCCTTAGACTATTTGGACCTCACACAGTTTTTTCTTGTTTGGAAAAACTGGTTAATACTTCCTTAAATGCTGATCTGTTTAGTGTATTTTAATCATGTCTCTGAATATCATTCTTTTTAGAAGTCTTTAAATGTCAAAAAGCTGTCATATGGAGGATTTAAAATTATAGTTTTCACTTAAATAATTGAATTTTATCACTGGCAACAAATACTGTCTATTTTTTCCTATGAATTAGTAAGTTGCTATACTTTTTTTTTAACAAAGTGGCCATTACTAAAGTTTTTATTAGTGTATAATAACTACACAGATTCATTAGGAAGTTTTCATCCATGTATACCATTATTATATTTACCTAGGCCTAGTTTTTGTTTCCTCCCACCTCCAGCTTATCCCTTTCCTATTTTAAATCTAGAATCTGTATGATTTTTTAAAGCCTTATTTGTCTTTCTTTTTGTTTATTTTTTGAGACAGGGTTTCTCTGTATAACAGTCCTGTCTGTCCTAGAACTAGCTCTGTAGACCAGGGAGCCTCAAACTCACAGAGATCCACCTGCCTCTGCCTCATGGGTACTGGGATTAAAGGTGTGCGCCACCACTGCCTGGCCTTATTTGTCTAAGTCTTAGTTATATCATTTTGTTCCAATCATTTTTCTTCAAATAGCATAGTTTCTTTCATTCTTTTTACTGACTAAAACTGTGTGTGTGTGTGTGTGTGTGTGTGTGTGTGTGTGTGTGTGTCAGGTTTTCTTTATCCTTTCATAGGCACCTAGAGTGATTCCATAACTGGGCTATTGTAAGTGCCACAGTAAACATGGATGTACAGGTACCTCTACTATATGCTTTGATTCTTTGTATATATATTCAGGGGTGTTATATGTGACCAGCAGTAACTCTGTCTTCTTGTTGTTTTTAGTTTATATGCATGCCTGTGCATGTGTACCTCAGAGGGCAACAATGAAAATTCTCCATCACTTTCAACCTTTAAAAATAAAAAAAAAAAAAAAAGACAATTTGTCACTGGAACTTTAGCTCACAGATTTTGCTAGGCTGGCTAGCTAGGGGCTCCCCCGTCTCTGTTTTTCTTTACAGGCACTGGCATTACCAATATACACTGCTATACCCCATCTTTACATAGGTGCAGGGGATCTGGAGCAGCAAGCACTTTACTCATGGAACCGTATCCCCAGCCCTTACTTTTAATCTTTTGAAAACCCTCTGTACAGATTTCGTAGTAGCTGTGTTAGTTTCCTTCCCCAACACTGTATTTAGGGGTCCATTTTCTACCTGTATCCTCACCAACATTTGTTATTTTCTTGATGATAGATAGCTGTTCCTACTAGGATGAGATGAAGTCTCACTGTAATTTTTATTTACATCTTACTGCTCAACTCACCAACTATCAAAGTCTTTTTTGGTGGTATGGGGAACGTTTCAAGACAGGCTTTCTCTGTGAAACAGTCCTGGCTGTCCTGGAACCACTCTGTAGACCAAGCTAGCCTGGAACTCACAGAGATCTGCCTGCCTCTGCCTCCCAAGTACTGGGATTAAAGGTGTAAGCCACCACCGCCCAGCCAAATATCTTTTTTTTTTTTTGGTTTTTCGAGACAGGGTTTCTCTGTGTAGCTTTGAAGCCTATCCTGGCACTCACTCTGGAGACCAGGCTGGCCTCGAACTCACAGAAATCTGCCTGCCTCTGCCTCCCAAGTGCTGGGATTAAAGGCATACACCACCAACGCCCAGCCAAATATCCAAATCTTAACATCAGTTTTTTTTTTTCACATAAAAATGGTACTCCATGAAATAATCCTTTTGACTTCTGCCTGCCATATTTTGGTTATCCATTAGCTTTGCTGCCCCATAAAGCCTTTCAGTGTGCCTTTCATTGAAATACCTCAAGGTGGAATCTGATTGGATCCTCCTGATGTCAACATAGCCATGAAAAACATAAAAGATGACCACAAAACATGAGCACCGCACTGGCTCTTTAGGTAGAGGAAGTATCAGACCTGGTAGATAACCAGAGTCCTATGTCCAGTGTAGACACCATTCTGAATTAGAATGAATAGAAGTGAGTACAGTAGTTGTCATAGACATTTAAAAGTCATAGACTCTGTAATTGCTCCACAAAGACCCATTTGACAGTGCCTTATTTAAAAATGAAGAGGTGTGCTTCTGAAGTGGTCACGTTGGTACCATCATCTCTTCAGTGCATGGACAGTACTCTGAAACTACTGTTGGATCTGCTTCAAAATATTCTTTAATATGAATTGAGCTGTTAAATGAATTTCCTGACACGTAAACATAGAATTTATTGCCTTTCATATTATATTAATAAAATACACTGTTAAAGGTTTCTTTGGTTGATTAACAATTTTTCATTATTTGGGTATCTTCCTCCTTCCAAAGGAAGAGAGTCTTCCAGAGTATCTGTGAGTATAATCATGTCTAGTATTTTCATTTATTAATAAATAAATTATCAGGCACTGAATTTTTCAGATTCACAGGTTGTAAATATGATTTTAAAAATAATAAAGATCCCACTAGCTTCCTTGTTTGGGGTAGGGACAAAGAAAGTTAAGAAGTCTATCTCTGCTGTCTGTGGAAATGTAAGCTTAATATCTTCTCCCCTTGTGAAGGTCCTGTAGTGATTTGATAGGGTAAGTATGGCAGGCTTTGGTTAAGTGGGAACATCCACACGCACATGCGTTGATTGAGTTATTTATGAAGTAACTCAAGCTGTATTAGAGAAAAAATATTTGGGGTCTAAGTTCCCTTTTTTGTCCATCCCATGAGAACTGAAAGTGATTAATATTTTTAGGTTAATGAGATGGAAAACAAAAATAGCATCTCCTTGGGGAAATATAACCTGACACAATTTAAAGTGGAATCCAAATTTAAATGTAATTCTTGGGTCTATAAGAGTGGATAAAGATGCTTGCCACCAAGCCTGAGGACCTGAATCTTCTTGGTTTTTCAAGACAGGGTTTCTCTGTATTGCTTTGGAGCCTGTCCTAGAACTCGCTCTGTAGACCAGGCTGGCTTTGAACTCACAGAGATCTGCCTGCCTCTGCCTCCCGAGTGCTGGGATTAAAGGCATGTGCCACTAAAGCCTGTCGAGAACCTGAATCTTGATCTCAGAATCCACATGGTAGGGGAGAACTTACTCCTGTTAGTTGTCATCTGACCTTCATGTGTGCACTATAGCATGCACACACACATACAGACATATTAAAAAATATAAAACTAAATTAAAATTTTAATTCTTTATCTTTGCCACATGTATATATTTTAAAAGAAATCTAGACTTTGTTTCATCTTTTATTCTTGTCTTCAAAAGCACAAAATCAGAGACTAGACATACTGATGTTAACTTTTGTACTTTGTTATGCCGTGTGCCACAAGTAACTAAAGTAGGTATTTTGAGTAATCTGTGGAGCATGTGATTTTCAGGTTTATACAGCTTACCTTTCTTTCTAATAGTGCAGTCCTACAGCATAAATTACATCTATTTTAGTGGCTTTGTGTAGACCCAAAGCAAACATTTCCTTAAGTGGCACAGCATGCTCACCACTACACATTCCTCCCTACCAGAGAGTAGACGGTTTACTTCGGTTTTGTTTTGTTTTTCCAGACAGGGCTGTTTCTCTGTGTAGCTCTGGCTGTCCTGGAACTCACTCTGTAGACCAGGCTGCCCTGGAACATAGATCCACCTGTTCCTGCCTGCCAAGTGCTGGGATCAAAGGCAGGCACCACCATGCCTGGCTGACAAAGTTTACTCTTCAGGGTTTTTGTTTGTTATAACAGAACCCTAAAAACAACATTTAACTTTTGCTAGATAAAAAGCAAAGCCTCTGCTAAGTATTGCTGCTACCATAATGCTTATGCTGGTTCAAACCTTAGAAAAAATAATGCTGTGCCCCAGAGGTATGGTAGCTTCCCTCCTTAGTATCCTAGCTCATCTAAGGCTTGTTTTATTTGCTTTTTTACAGACCTAACAACCATAATGAATGCTGCATATTGAGAGAAACCACAAGAAGGTTAAATGCTTGATTGTCTAATTCTTGGATTTGATCTGAACCAACACATAGTCTTTGTTGTCACTGACAGAGCCCCACCCAGTATGTGTGTGCATTATTCACATTCCTGTCTGTTCTGTTGAAGGGGGAAAAAGAGACATTTTGACCTTTTTTAAGGTTATTGACTTAATTTTATGTTATTTGGTTGCATGAAATTGCCCTTAACCACAAAAAGTTATCAAGATTTTTGCACAGACTTTTCCATGTCTAAGCTCCTTTTCCAAGGCAGTTCTGGTCGTCAGCTTCCTGCCTTTACCCCCACAATCATCAAATACTCAGTTAAACAGTAATTCATATTTTTTAGATGACTAATCAACATAATACTTAAGGATGGGATTTTCTTTCTAATAGAACCCAAGAACCAACTCCTAGATACATATTGTTGGTATACTGGAGGTGAAATTAAAGTCATCTTTCAATTTTAAGGCCATGTGTAAAGTTTAACCGTATTGTACAATACCTGTTCTGTATTAGAAATAGCTAGTTGAAACTTACACTTCTCAAAACTCATGTTGCTGTGTACACAAACTGAGTGTATATGTGAATCTAGTGAGTCTTTTTGTGTTATACCAAAATAAAGCAAGGATTTATTTTTTCCCAATGCCAATATGATTTGAGCTAATCACTCAAGCTGGTCACTTTACACTTGAAAGCTGAAATTAGCAGGAGCACCATGGGAAAACAGACAAAGCATTGATGCTTGAACATAGACTTTTAAAATAAACTTTTCTTTTGGAACTAGAATTAGAGTAGATAGCATTCACCTGCAAATGATTATTATGTGTACATTATTGTCGCTATTGTGATAATAGAATCTTATTTATTTTTATGCCAGCTTATACTGTGAGAACACATTAGTCAGTTTGGGTTTCATCAACTCTGTTATGCTTGTCTTTGGAACATCTTCCGTGTATGTTTGAGGTTTGTAGCTGAAAAGTTTACTGTAAAAAAAAAAATCAAAAACAACAAAAAAATGTATTGTTTTTACAGAATAAATTTATTGGAATGTGTACCAGGAGTAAGGTTTGAGGTTGTAAACAACTGAGTTAGTGTTATTTGGCTTCATACATGTAATGTGAAGTGTTAATGTAATTCTTATATTAAAGCAAAGATTGACAGCAAGTTGACATTAGAATTAAGTGCAGGTGAGGATTTTATTTTTTTCTATCTTTTTTCTTTTTAAATACTCTAGATGTTAGGTTAATTGAAAACACTGGGAAGGACAGGAGTGAGTAGCAGTATGATCTGCCTGCACGACTAAGAAAACACCAGCTCAGTGGACCCTGTGTTTACACATAACCTTATGTGCATCCTGTTTTCTTTTGGTTTCTTATTTTGTTGAAGAACTAATGAACATGAAGACAAAATATAAGAAGACCTCTAAAAGCCCAGTGTCGTTGGATTGATGAAGGTGATGCTGGCTGTGAGAGTTAAATGCAGTCTACTTACCCCTTCAGGGCATACTGAGGAGGCTACTATGTTTTAGGCTTGTTTCTGTCATATAGCAATTAATGGTTTCTTTATTGTACTTATACAGTTCCAAGTATGGAAAATTCATTAAGAGACAGGGTGCCACATCAGGTTTTATCTTTAAAAGGTACTTTTTTTAATTTAAAATATTTTATTCTAAAATTAATGACATCCATCAAAAGACCTTTTTATTGATCACAATAAAACATATGGAGAATGTAGATAACATTTTAAATTGGAACATATAACAGATTTCTTAAATAAAAAGTTCAAAATTTGTCATGAAATGTATACATAAAATGCTTCAAATTTAATAATGTTTGTTTTCATAAAACACCAAAAATAATTTTATTGAAAGTATACACAGAAACACAAGAGAAATATTACTATCCACCAATAAAACAAGTGTTCATTTAGGGCTAATAATAAAGTTGATTTGTGTCATCTTAGCTATTTAAATTCACAATAGAGGTTTTGATAGCATGTTTTTAAAACAGCCATAAGTAATATACTTTCCTTATGAAGACATTTCAAGCAACTTAAAAATACAATGATCTGGCATTTATATTAAGGTTGTCAATGATTCATACATTTCATATGAAGAAGTTATTTCTCCAACCTGTAATTGCTGTTTTGAATTATTTTATATGCATAGTGAATATGGTTAGTCACATCTGAGTAGTTTCATTTTTATGCTATTTGTAGGCACTAGAGTTGTAATTTTCACACATAATATGTGCAATGTTAAAATCCATGGTCACATTCACAGAAAATTTTTGATATATTTCATTAAACAAGCTGTTTCTCAACTTCAATTTCCCTTCAAAAATGAGAATATACCCATACAATACCAGTATTTTTCATTCACACATACATTGTAGAGAAAGAATCTGTATTCTTGTGAGCATCATGGAAGGGAATGAAGTAGAACACCAGTTCCATGTAACAGGGTCAGAGAGAACATGAGGTATATTTATTCCACCTTTTCATCTGCCTTTATTCTTATGAAGAACTCGGGATTGTAGGTACAGCGGTAGGCCAAGAGCTGAGGAAGAACTCCATATGCTATGTTTAATGCTAAAAAAAGGATTTTCGCTTCTTCAGGGACTCTGTAGACATAAGCAGTTCTAGCATGAAGGGAAGCACCAATGTGAGAAAACTGAGCCTGTTTATATTAAAACAAACAAAAGAGTAAGCATGAGATCTGTTCACTTGGATTAATGATGAATTCTGGGTGACTCATTCAGACTATATGCCCTCAAAAGCAAAATACCTTCAGATAATCCATTCTTAATATACAGTCTTTGACTAAATTTAAGGTCATTCTTTATAAAAAAACTATTCAGATAATGTATCCTATTTAAAGTGTGGTTTTATCATTCCAGTTGTGTTTTTTTAACCTATCCAGTGCCCAATACCAAACATTACTAATTTGAATTCTAGGAACATTATGTGGTGGACACTCAGCTAAGTCTCACAAATTGGGCTCCAATTAAAAATGAAGTTGAGTTTAAAAGCTAAACTGTAGTTAGTATAATGAGCTACTTAAAGAGAAGCATTGGGGGTCTCAGTGTTGTTGGGCTGACTGACTACTAGAAGCCAGAGCCCAGAGCCCCATAATCATGTAGTTTTGTTTATTTGTGTATTTGATTTTGTGCAACTTAATAGCACTATGGTTGTTTGTAAGACACACTTGTCAATAGCTTGACTGTGGAGAACAGTATGATTATAAAATGACATATATGTACACAGGCAACCTTTTTAAGTCAGACTGAAATCTACTTATAATCATGAGGGGTCAGCATAATCCAAGTTTGAGAGCAGAAAGGCAAGGGCCTCTCTGTTTATATACATAGACTCTATTCAGAATGTGCCTGTTGAGTTTTACTTGGCTCGTTTGTTCTTAGTACTTTTCATAAGCACAGAGAAAAACTATTAGAAAAGTAATACAGGCATAGCAGGATTAAAAACCAAGAAAATATTTTCTCAGAAAACCTGTGTTACTATAAAATGTAAACTCCAAGTCTACATTTTTATGTTTGGCTGAAATTCAATTTACACATGAATAAAGACTGAGAATTTAAATGTAATAAGTAGTAAATTATTAGTATACTATGATCAAAGTGAAAGATAAAGAGTACTATAGTCTAAAGAGGTGGAAGTAACAAGAATGAATCACTAAAGAATTTGTTTTTAATGTATTTGTTACCTTACATTTCCTACATTAATTGTGCTAAGTGATTAACAGATAAAAGTGCTACTTAGCATTTGATTTGACCTTGACCAGAAAAGGGCAAGCTTTTATAAACAGCATGTTTAGGAATTTGTATCAATGGCAGATATTTTAATGGGCTACAATTTATAAATTACTGATATATTCTGGATACCTCCAATATGTTTTTGCTACTCTAGAGATGAAAATTAAATTCCTGTGGTGTGTTGACCAGGACCAACAAATGGATTACCTGCATTGTGATCCATAGGCACTTAGAGGACTCTGCCCTCAGACACACCTCCCTAGGGCAGATAGATGGCCAAAGGCCCAGCAAATGTTTGCATCTCAGGGCTATACAGACAAAAGACCTTGAGAATAAAGGGCACTTTGGAGACTGCCTTGAGGAGCTGCGGTTGTGGACAGTCTGGGAACTCTGAACAAAAACTTGGCTCCTGACACTATTTTTCTCTAGGTCCTACTTTAAATAGCTGTTTATCTGAATTAATAACAATTTTCTTCTGGACTAGAGGCCAGTTTTGAACTCTGGTTTTGTCAGATTTGTGAGTTTAGTGATTCTATCCCTATAGATTATGTGTACATCATAAAACAACCAGAAAAATACCATCCATAGTTTCCAAGAATAACATGAGCAGTTGTGTGTATTTGTGTAGACAAGCCTGCCTGAAAGGTCAGTGATTCTGTGGGCCCTTTCCTGCACTAAACAGTGCAGCTAATACCTCATTTTCATGAACAGTAAGGTCATGGCAACATTAAAAAATGATTTGTGTCCTTAGATTAGATTGTACGCCTACTGGGCAGATACTGTGTCTAATGTTTTGTGTGACACCTATCACATTGTTAGAGTTCAATAAACGTTCAACAACAATGGTCTTGTGACTGTCAGAATACAAAAGAGTCTTTAAAGCATTTCTCTAGTAGTAGGCCATTCTACTCAAAATGATTAACAAGGAGTGAAGATTGTAACAGTCCTTACCAAAGGGTGTGTGCATGTGAGAAAAGAATCCTTTGGCCAGTCGTCTGCCACTCCTGGTACTGCACAAGGGTGTGCTTGTGGCAGCCAACCTAGTGGGCTCCCAACTGTAGTTTCCTCTAGTGTTAAGTTCTCAGGATTCGGGTACAAGAAAAACCACATCACCTGAGGAAGCTACCTTCCCCAAACACATACTGTTAAGGAGTGCTCAGCACACTTGCTTCCCTACATGGCCTGTGGAGCTCAGCCTGGGAACTGTACCAGGGCCAAGTGAGTGAGTGCAGTGCTGCCGAATTTGCATCTCGATTATAACTACAATATTCAGTGATGTGGCTGACATCCCTAGTCATTTCCCTTTGACTTAATTCTAAGTTTCTACCTTGCAGAAATACAAAACAATTGATTTTTTTGTCAGACTGAATGTTTAGAATGTAAAATGAGGTCATGAAAGTAAGCAAACGCTAAGTAATAGCTTCCTTTCCTGATAGAGAAAATTGGGAACGGATGACCCTATTCTAATCCCTCTCCTCCCTAATCACAATCCTGGCTCCAAAAAGAAGTGAGTCTTACATGTGCACATGAATGTTAGAGGGTAAAACCTGTAGGTGTTGGGACAAAGCCCTATCTTAGTCTCTATAATACAAGTAAATAATCCAAAACTGTTATTTTAGGGTTTTCTGAGTAACAGTGTAGAAAATTATAACACTGACTTTAGAAACCACATGGCTACATTGGATTATTGCTCCACCACAAGCTAAGTAACAAGGCCCACCTAGGTGGGGGCATGGGTAGACATACAAAACTAAATACTAAATACCTGCTCATGATCAGGCACTCTGTTGACAACCTGGGCTCCTTGTTGACCTTTTAACTCTATCAGATAAGCATGTAAGAAAGTCAAAGGTGCTTGGTAAAGCACCAGAAGTGGGTGGCAGAAGCATTTATATTAGTAGCCTAGTTGTCCAGTAGCCAGTTGTCTTCCTAAAACTTTAAGATATTCCTTAAAGGTTTCTGTGAAGGAAAAACATGAAACTTAATTCCTTAAGATCAAGCTCTACTGCCGGGCAGTGGTGGCGTACGACTTTAGTCCCAGCACTAGGGAGGCAGAGGCAAGTGGATCTCTGAGTTGGAGGCCAGCTTGGCCTACAGAGTGAGTTCTAAGATAAGCTCCAAAGCTACAGAGAAACCCTGTCTCCAAAAAAAAAATCAGCCTATACCACTCATGGCCATACACCCAAATCATCCTACATGTTACTATAGCCATAACTGGTCCAGGAAAGTCAAAGTAAACTTTTCAGATGGACCTGTAGATCCCTGTATAGCCAAGAGTGGAGGAGGCAGTGAGCTGGAGGGATGTCACCTGACTAAGTCCCCCCCCCCAGTGGATGTCGGGTTACATAATGCCCACTAGATTCCTGTCCCTAAGCCTTTGCCTACTTTTTTTTAAAGATCATTATATGTGAGATACACTTTGGTTAAATTGTAGAATTAATCTCAGTAAGGGAGGCATTTTCTCAATTCTTTCTGGGAATCTATACCAATAATTATAAACAGGAGTCACATAGCTTTTACATGTCAGACACTATCATTAGCAATTTATGCAGGACTCTGTTTAATCCTCATCAACTTTACAGAAAAAATGGTGATCAAGAGAAGTAAAGTAACAGTGGTCATTGAACTAACTAGTGACATCAAGGAGCTTGAATCAGCTCTTGCTGTTAATCATATTAACTATATTAACTCAGGTCTTTGATTTTTTTTCATTTTCCATGATTCTAACAACATGCAGTCGGCCATTGGCATCCAAGGAGGATTGGTTTCAGGACCTTTGACGTCCCATATATGTCAGAATCCTTGGCAAGTCCCTTGCATCCTATGTATATCTTTCTGCATGTCTTACATTAGATGACTTACAGTACCAAACAGTACAAATGCAGTGTAAGCCATTCTGTGTCCTTTAGGGAATAAGAAAACGTCTACTTTTTGTTCAGTACTGATAACCATCATGAGCCTCACATACTTCTCTTAAGCTGGTTGAGTCTGCACATAACTAAGAATTGACTATACTTCACTTCATGGAAAACATTAGCAAGTGAATTGATAAGGTCTGCCATACTTCTCAAGTTATGCTTACAACTTTAGTCCTATGACAAGCACTGTGTATAGAGATATTAAGCCCCCAATGGAACTTGACCTAAAATATAGCCTGATTTTTATTTTTAAGTGTTTGACTGGGCTTCTACTTTGTGAAGAGATTTGTTAGGTTCCTAACACAGCCTGAAATCAAGGACCCAAATCATCCAGTGTATCTTGCAATGACCTAAGAAATTTTGAATTTTTTTTTTTTTTTTGCCTATTCTGGTCTCCACAAGCACAAGGTACACAAATGGTGTATAGATACACAGGCAGACAAAACACCCATATACATTAAGATTCCAGGTTTTTTGGCTTAAGCTGGTGGATGCAAGCTAAGGCTATTGACATTGACAGAGACAATAGGCAACAGGAGAGATGGGAAGGACCAAGAGTCCTATTTTTAGTCTCCGACATGCTACCTGGGCTACAAAGCAAGACTGTATCAAACAGGAAAATATGTTTTCTTTTATAGACTGACACTTTGCAGATGTACTTAAAAACTCAAGTGTGAAAAAAAAAAACTCAAGTGTGCCTGTTTCCATTACAAAGGTGCTGCTTTCATTTTACTTCAGAAGTTTCTCAAAGTGCCTCAGAAAATCTGTTGCAATGGTGAAATGGTTAAGTTTGGAATCAAATTTAGGGGTCAGCAATCAGGGCTGAAGAAACTGGTTACCAGGTTATACTAGCTATCAAAAGATGAGGAAATAAAAGCCCAAGCCAAGGCCTTGAGGATTGGGTGGAGATTTAGAGGCTGACAAAGGAGAGCAAAGTAGCTAAGCATTTCACCAGGAATATTTCTTCTGCAGGTTCTATCTCTTTTTCTATGACTATTCTAAATAAGTCCCTCAGGAGGGATTTAACCCACTGATTCTATAAATACTGTATTTTCAACACTGAATTCTGGGGCTTTCTGCCATCGTGGTTACTGTACCATGACTGTAGTTGCTATGCTTTGCTTCTGAGTGGGCCCCACTCTGATTTCCAGGTCAGTGTTGCCTTCATTAAACACCTGCTGTCGGTCAGGGACTTGGCAAGGCGCCAAGGTGAGGGATTGAAGGGCAGGCTCAGCTTTTTAGAAACAGAATTTACACTAAACTAGCTCCTTGGTTCTGTTGAGTATTGTGTAGCAGAGCTCTGGACTCTGCATTTAGATAGAATAGGTAACTTATGAGTACAGCTTTCAACGCTTACCAGTAGCCATAATGTTCATAGATTGGGAAGCAATTCTATAACACAGCAGTGCCACTTGCTACTTTTGTGAACCTAATTTCACTAGATAACTACATCTATCAGGTAGTATCATTAGTAAGTGTGTCTGTCTGTCTGCCAATGAACTAGAAAACTCCTACTCACATTGAGCAGAGACAGGTTTCATAATTCTAATGACAGCTAGGTTACTAGAGAACTTTCTCAAGAGGGAATATTCTTATCTGAGTACCTGGGCTATCCCTCCAGCATGGACCAGTGTTATGTCGGGCATCCATGAACATCCTGGAACCACTAAGCCGTAAAGTGCAATCACAAAGTAAGGAACAGAATAGAACATGTACGCCAGCATCTGTGTAACAAAGAAATGAGCAAGTTAACAGCTTGACCTTAACAAAAAGCAAAAACATGAAGCATTTTCAAAGATAAATGCTAATTCCTATTCCTATGTAGACAACTCATTAACTTTAGAAAAACTTAGACTTTGTAACTACTTGACCTGAATTTTAGGGTAAGCAGCAGGGTCCTTTAGGTAGGGTTCTTGAAACTGTGTGTAGAGTCGGCAGAGCTCAGCTGGGCAATCCAAAGCAATCTAAGGACAAAATGAGTTCGTTATAAATAGTCTTGTCTGGGTATTGGGTTTGCTGATGAGGTTGTGTGGCAGCTTCAGTCATAGGCTGCTTCAGTTCTCAACATCAATTGTGAGTCTTTACAGACTCATCAGTGACAGCAAAAACAAATATTCAGACTAGGTTGACAGTGGAGCATTGTTCTGGGGACTCTGATATTCACAGCTTCAGCATCTAGGTTTAGTGAATCAAAGCACAGCTCTTGGTATAGATGACCAGTTCCATGTGGAATAGCTAGCCAACTAGTCTTTACCAGAAGAAAAATAACACTTTGTACCAAATTAATCATACTATGCTTTGTAAGATTGAGAACTAGCATCTCTCTCCAGTGCCTCACAGCATCTTGCCTTTGGAAGCAATAAGGGATGACTTGAAAGCAGGGTCCTCCTGTGAAGCCCCTCCTGTCCACTTTGGAAAAGAGCAGAGAGCAGATTGCATCCCTGCAGAGTACACTCTAGTCCACAGAATGGATTTTGGCACACCACTGAGACACTCCTCCCTCAGGCACCATTCCTCATATCCTTGGCCACAAATGAAATGTTCCACCTAGATGACAATGTATATTACAGGCTAGCAGTAGAGTTGGACCTTTGCCCAGATGCTCATCTGGGAAAGCCGCACTCAACACACATGCACACATCTTTGTCAGGGGCAAGTGAAAGGGCATGGAAGGATACAGTTGGATCTCATTGTGTGGTAGTGTTGAACTTGGGAATTAGTACGAGCCAACCAAAGAACAAGTTCCATGGCTTGTTCTCAACTTGTGCAACAGCAGCAAGTTTAGAATAGCTGGTAATTGTTTCAGATGAATATGATTAGCAAATCATTCTTAGTAGAATATTTCTTCTAAGAATAAACTAGAAAGTTGGGTCATTGTGAAGGATCACTGATGAATGAAGACTAACAAAAATTGTTCATTGAGCACTTCCTTTGTACAAGGTCCTGTACCAAGAGGCTAGTCACTAATCTTCAAAATGATATAAGGTAGATACTAGTAGTTCACAGAGAAGAAAAGGTCAGAGAGATGGGCATTTTTCTAAGGCACACCTAGCAAATGGCTAGCCTTCCCCACAGGGAAAACCTATGTCCAAAAGCAAACAACAAACAAAAAGGGATAAAGGCCCAAGAGAAAAAACAAAAACTCATGAGCCCTTCATGCTATCCTACCCCAAACCTGAGCCTAATTTTGCATTATCCTTAGCGGTGAGAAATTCGCATGACCCTGAAGAGGTGAGCACTGTTACTCAGGGACAGCTTGATCCTATCACCCCTACGTGGATGTTCTAAGCCACAGCTGTATTGAGGTCTTAGGGTATCACCCTGACCAAAAGAGAAGTTTGTCAGTTTAATTTCACACACACACACACACACACACACACACACACACACACACACACACTATACATCTATATATACATACACACATTGCATACACACTATACATACATATACACACACATTGCATACGTACACACTAAGCGTCTTTACATACATACTACATTGCATACACACACACTTTTTTCCTGTTTGGAATAGTATATTGTTTTTGATGTTATGCTTACCAAGCCTCTGAACAGGCAAAATCCAGTTGCCAAGAAAAGACACACAACCAATATTAAGTCAAATGGTCTTCTCAGAAGAGCCTTTGCTTGGGCTTCTTGAAGAACCTAAAATAGAGTTTGTTGCTGGAGAACAATCCCAAAGCCAGGGACAAGTCTGCAACACTAAATTCCAAGAAGATTAATAATGAGTCTGGAAGATGCACAATTCACATCATAGACCACTGACCACTGAACCTCACGAGTATCTTTCCCTCTAGTGCATCACCTCTTCCATGAAATGGAGGTACTGAGCCAGGTGATTTGAGGCCCTTCCAGCTCTAAGTCCATATTTTTTTCTTGAAACTAGATGTTTATGATTATAAAAGTAAGCTACATGCATTTCAAAAACGAAATTTTAAAATGTGAATCATAAGTTGCCGCACTACTGTTAATAGTTGACACACATTCCCAGTGATGTATGGTTTTATTTGTTGGTTGATCAGCTGGTTGGTTGGTTGGTTGGCTGGGTGGCTGGTTGCTTGGTTACTTGGTTTTCTGAGACAGGATCTCAATTGTGTGGCTGAAACAGACCTGGAACTCCCTGTGTAGTTCAGGTTGACCTCAAATTCATGATTATCCCGCATCCTACTCCCAAGTACTAGGATTAGATTTCATGTGTACCACCACGCCTGACTCATATGTATGTGTATATATATGTATATATGTGTATATATGTTCTGTATATTCATATGTAAATATATATATATCACATACAACCTTTTTTGCAAAACTAGAATTTAGAACATAAACAGTTTTGCATCTTCATTGAATAACTGCCTGTGAGCACATCCTCACTTGATTAAAATTGAAAACACCTTAGAGACACCATACTTGTCCTTCCACTGCAAGACACTGGGGCATTTTTCCACTGTAACAATGTTAAGGAAAGTGGCTCTGCACAGAAATCTCTGCGGAGTGTCTGTGATGACTGTCTCAGGACAGGCCCCTGATGTGGAAATGGGTTGGAAACAGAGTGATCCTGGAGTTGTTGGGTTTTGTTTGTTCTGAGTGTGGTTTCTAACAACACCGTTTAACAACGCCCATATCTATGCTTTACCATTCAAGTAACAACACAAATGGGTCTGTGTGTCTTGTTATGCAAACACTGTTCACACACTGACACGAAGCCCTTACAAAGCAGTAGAGCCAGGACTAGGGTTACAGTTTACTCTTTCTTTTTAATGTCCACTTCAAAGAGATGTACGAGTGTAGCTGCTGCTGGCCTGAGTTTACACAGCAGTATCTAAATATTTACAAATTAACTTCGTGTAAATTATAATGTACATAGAGTGAGAAATAAACCTCAGTGTGGTGGAGTGGTTGTTCAGGACACTGGTGGCCATGTATTCAACCCCATCACTCCCCTAAAAAGGTATTTTAGTGACTTCTAAGAATAATTTTGGCCAGACATGGTGGCGCATGCTTTTAATGCCAGTCCTCAAGAGACAGAGACAGGTGGATCCCTGTGATTTTGAGGCCAACCTGGACTACATAGAGGGTTTGAGGTCAGCTAGGGAGGGCTACATAGTAAGACCCTGCCTCAAAAATAAATATTTTAAAATAAGGATAGTTTTGTAAGTTGAGTAATCATGTTCTAACTGGTAGTTTGTTCTCATATGTCTGATAAATTTAAAGGACCCTAACCAAAGATCTCATATATATTCTCAAGAGAAAGAAATTACTCTCAAAAAAAAAAGAAAGAAAAAGAAATCACTCTCTTAGAAATGAAGACTTAAAAGCAAACCTGCAGGGCTAGCCTTGCTTCATTCTAACCACCTCAGCGGTGAATGGAAGGAGAGGAGTCTTGGGAGTGCTTCTGCAGCCAGTGTCCTGGGGCCTCCATCCTCTGGGATCAGACCCTATGGACCTCATGCATTACCTTGAACACCTGAGCAGTAAATGATATTACTGAAAGAAGCATCAGGTGCTAGCTTGCACAAAGGCCATTGACAACCCAGGCAAACCATATGCTGGGAACTTTACCTGTCACACTAACAGAAGGGTGACAAGAGCCAAGGGATATCCCCAAAGTGCAATAGAAGCAGATTGGTTCAGACAGAAGCAGACCATCTGCCACTTTAACGAAGATGCTAGCAAATGCCAAGCTATCAACACAATCCTATGGATTGAATGCCCCAAATGTTCTGTCCTCAAAGGAGATGGGAGCCCCAAGAGTCTGAGAACATGTAAGAGGTGCCAGCAGCCAAAGTGGAGCCTGAGTTTACACACCAGTATCGGGTTGGTTACATCTAAGTGTAATAAAATTACCTTTGATGGATAATTATAGTTTTCTGGTGGCTGATTATAGATTCTGAAGCCAGCCCAGACGGGAAGACATGTATATGGTATGCTTAAGAAGAATGCAGGACAAATCCGTGTTCCGTATTTTCCTATTTAAAAGTGAGAGGAAAAGATAATTAAAAGTCTGTTGGTGCATAGCCAAACACAGTAATATCTAAGCTACCTCCCACCTTAAACCACCTAAAATTTTGCTATGAACCAGGCAATATTTTTATTAGATAAGACAGAAATCAAATCATTAACTGTCTCTTAACAGTGATGTCCTATTTACAATATTAAAAACTATATTAATACATATATCCTAATTTTCTGCATGTCTAAATGGCTTCTTTTACTTCAGCATGGAAGAATCTTTTATTTCTGGGTGCATTTGCTATAAGTTCTCACAGCGTGAGAGAAATGGCATATAATACAAAGAGCTGCAAACAGGATCCATGTATTAAATGCTGGTTGCTTAACTAGCTGTTCAGTACACACTTCTGAAAATGACTCCAAAACACTTCTTAAAAGATGAGCATCACGTGAAGTGATGCACTCTTGGCCTGGACACATGGGGAAGGGTCTACGCCCCACCTTGGATGATGTGGTGGACTTTGCAGAGTCCCCTTTGAGGGCCCTACCCTGCCTGGGGAGTGGTGGCTGGATGGAGGGGGGGTGGGGGAGGAGGGATGGGGGTGAGGGGAGGGAGAGGAAAAAGGGACTTACATGTGAAACAAGCTGGTTCCCTAACTGGAACTAATAAATAAATTTTAAAAAAAAAAAAGATGAGCACACAGAGGGGGATAGAAATAACTTTGCAAAAATAGTTTTAACAAGCTTGGAATCTATTAAAAAGCTTAAAAACAACTTTTCTATCTAAAAAACCCATTATTGCAAAGAACAAAAAATGGCAACAACAAAAGCATTGCTGTTAAAATAGGGTTTCTTACCTACAATGTTTCCAGGCACAAAAACCACAATGCTCATTATAATGGATCCAACCCAGTATAGGCCAATGGTTCTGTAGCTTTCCCTACAACAAAATGTTTTGATTCAGTGTGCTTGTCTTAGGATACAAAAGGCAACCCTCAGAATTATCTTTCATTCTAGTTATGGGAGTCCATAAATAGAAACTCACTGAATCAAATGATAAGCACAGGGAACCCTGACAATCAAGGACCACTTCCATATGTGACACAGTACAGAACCTTCTTTGTGGGTCTGTGCACTCATGTATGCAAATGTGTAGTATATGTTTATGCACATGTATGTGTAAGCCTGTCCATGTGCATGCTTGTAGAGACAGGAGGCTGTGTTGGGTTCCTTTCTCAATCACCCTCCACCTTATTTTTTTGAGACAGGGTTTCTCACTGAGCCTAGAGCTCTAGCCAACTCAGCTACACTTGCTGGAAGGACTGTCTTTTCTCCAGGTACAAGTCCTCACAATTTACTATGTGGGTGCTGGGGATTGAACTTGGGTCCTCATGCAGCAAGCACTTTACTGACTGAGCTATCACCCAGTCCCCTTGGTGTCCTTTTAAGTAGGAAATCATGCTTTCTACACAACACACATTGACCTGTGACATAGTCTTTGCTGATTAGGAATGTATTTCCATATTGCATATAGAAGAAAAAAAGTTGAGAGATTGCAGTTTAGGATGTAAAGTGGACTTTCTGTGGCAACACAGAGTGTGGACTAAAGCCCCAGAGGTGACAGGTCCCTGTGTTCTAAAGGGGCTGCTCTAATCTCAATGGTGGCCAATGTCCCTTCAACTGATAACCCAGAAACGACTCCACACTAGAGGCTGAGAGGAATCTAAAAGGAGGGTCCAGTGTGGAGAGCACTATGTTTTCTGCTCTGCTGTGGGCCCCAACCCAAATGGAGCAACCCACCAGGGCAATGCTTAATCCCGAAATGCCACAGGAAGATAGATAAGGATAAGCTGGTGTCCTGGAGAAGACAATGAGGGGAGGGCAGGACAGCTCATGGGGCTGCACTGTAGCCTCCCAGGGAGCAGAACTGAAAGACCTTCTCTCTCTCAGGACCACACAGAGGCTAGGAAGCTGAAACTGTCTGTGAAAAGTTCATAGCCAAGACTGCCTTCTAGAGCCATGGGAACCATGGTGGACAAGGAGTGAGAATTCAGCCAGAGGTGCTGGTTACTTCTGCAGGTGATGTGGGCATGCAGGTTTCTGCCACAGGCGGGAGTCCCCCATGTGAGCTGTGAGATACAGCTAGCATGTCACAGCAGAGAGTCCTGGTACCCCAAAAAACTACAACCGTCACAAAGTCTTCCCTCATTTCTTTAAAGACAGAGACGTGCTCCCAGAGGAGCCAGCCACAAAGAATTGAGGGGTATGATCAAACCCCAAGTCAGTACAATTCCCCAAGCCCTGGAGCAACACCTGAACTTGAGGAGAAACTGAACTGAATGAGATGGAACTTTGAATTACAATGTGCTGGACTTTGAGCCCTAACATTGAGGGGATGAAGAGATGGCTCAGCGGAAAAGGCGCTTCCTGCAGGAGCATGAAAACCCAAGTTCATATCTCTAGCACCCACATGAAAAGCCAGGCTGGTGATATGCCTCTGTAACTTCAGCATCAGGTAAGGGCAGGGACAAAGGTGCTTGGTGACCAGCCAGCACTGCCAAAACAGTGAGCTCTGGCTGGGTTCAGCGAGAGACTGTATCTCAAAAACTAAGGGGGTGAGCCAATGAGATGGCTCAGTGGGTGAAGGCACTGCTAAGCCTGCCAGCCTAAGTTAGGTCTCCAGGTTCCACATGGTGGAAGGAGAGACCCCATCCCTGTGAATTGTCCTTTGACCTCCACATACCTACCAGAAAACACCCATTCACACACACACACACACACACACACACACACACACACACACAGTGAGAGTTTATTGTTGATGTCATGTGTTTGTTCTTGTTGAGTCAGGCTCGCGCTGTGCAGCCCAGGCCTGGAACTCACTCTGTAGACCATGCTGGCCTGCAACTCGGAGATCCGCATACACCATCATGCCAAGGGAGACTGTCCTTATGAAAACATAAGCAGAAACCTAAGAGACCACTCTGCCTGAGCTGCCACCAAGGTAGAGGGACAACTCAAAGGGATTTGTTAAAATGACAGTGATACAAAGAAAATAAAGCTTTGTCCAACTCCTAGACCATTCCTGTCCTGGCATACACGTGTGTACTGGCCTCTAAATGTGTTTTCTCTACATACCCCTTATCAGTTGCAAAGGTGCACACACACACCAGGAGAGCTAACTTACTCCCATGCTATGGCAGCCACCATCACCAGGTACATCAGGTAGTGAACAGAGCCATCCCAGTAGCAGATCATGTGTCCATAGGCTGTGTTCAGATACGGTTCACCCTAAGGAGAGCATTAAGAAGATTTCCATTTTAAGGAAGACACACCTTTAAATGCAAGACAACAGACTTGTATTGCAAATAAAACAACAGAACTAAGTGGTGTTTGTTCACTGAGCTGAAACCGCTTCCACACAGTTGGTAGGACTGCGAAAATACAACTTTACCCTGGGGCAGCCAAAACCAGGATCTGCCATGGTGTCAAATAGGAGAGTCCCTAACAAACTGGCATTTGGCTGCTCAACAAAGGTTTGTACAACAACACAAAAGCATTAGGTGGCTGTGTGTGCAATCCCAGCCAACTGGAGCAAGGCCAAACTTGTGTCTGCAAGCACTTGACCCTGACCAGAAGGGTGGCCCAGGAAGGCCCTGTTCACTGGTACCACCTGCTGACCTTAACCAGTCAAGCTGATCTTGTGGTGGGCTGGGCATGGGGAGTTGCCCATGTCCAATTCCACACACAGCTTATACCTGCCCTTTAGTCGACCTCCCCGACAGGCTTGTGGGCTGGTCGGGCCTGTCTGTCTGCAGAGGAGAAAACATCTTTCAAAGCTTCAAGACTTGCCTGAGGTCACATAGCTACTAAGGAGTAGTAGCACATGCATCACCCTCAAGAGCCATGCTCTGAGCTATTTTTAGTTTCATGAACACAAGATTGTAGGATGAACTATGTATGTTTCCCTTTCCCAGGTAGTTGTGTTTCGGGGGCTCATCAGACATGGATTCTTCAATGTTGTCTTCTTTCTTCCTTCCCCTAGAACCATGTACTTCCAGAGGTGTCTTCCTAATATGCTCGCAGTCCTTTAACTAGGAGAGGTCTGAAACTGTATCAACCAGCCATGAGACATTCTATGGAACTTTGTGGCTCCACTCATGCAAGGACATCAGCCGCCACCACCCCCAAAAAGCCACACCCAAACTTCTAGCTCTATGCCTGGCCACTGCCTTTTTCTCATACCCATGGTGCTCTGACTGCATAATTCCAGCTGATTTCATGCTGCAGCCATTCCTGCCTACACACTCAGCTCTGAAAGCCAGCGCTGGCCTCTTTGGGGAGCTTGACAGACACCCATGAGCCCTTCAAAGCCACCTGAACTCCTTCAAGTCATCTGCTCCTGCCTTCAGCCAAGCCCTTCCTGACTTCTGCATACCCAGCTCAGCCAGCTCTGAGCTGGCTCTTCAATGCAGTCTTTGGACAAATCTCACTAATGTTATGTCCATGCTGCCACTTTAGGTGGCCTTCCCTGTCCATCACAGTGTAGGTCAGGCCTTCAGAGTCACTCATAGAGCCACTGCTACATTTCCAAATGGGCACCCACCTGTCCCTGCTCACCACCTACCACACTCCAGCTGCAATGCAAGACACATGCAGCCCCCCATACACACACATACTTCCTGAAAGCCTGCAGGTCAAAGCCCCATCTCTTCCACTAGGCCCCCAGATCTTCCCACTGTTACACCCCAGCTTCCTTGCTTGTACCTACTTCCCAAATTCTTGCCAACCCCACTGGGTTGATATCCTCTCTCCTGAAGGTCCCTCCTCTGGGTCCATTGGCCCCCTCCCCAGGCTTCCCTCTGCCTCTGTCTGCCCACCACTGCCCATCAACCCCTACAGAAGCAACTCTCTTCTCCGACTTGAAGTATCAACTCTATTTGGGTGACTCCTGAATCTCGCTGACAGAGCCACTCCTCAGAAGTCCAGACCTGCTCAGCCCTGCCAGCTGGGGCACTAGTAGATGTCCCTTGAGCACCCAAAACTCTACATGTCCCCGGATGAACTCAGCATTACCCTGCAAACACTCCTGGGGAGACAGGCACTACTAGGCCTCCTTTCCAGACCTTTGCCCATGCTGTCTCTTCACCCTGGAAGGCCTTTCCCTTCCTGTGCCATATAGAGGTATGTGTGGTCCTCTCCCATGACCACTCTGAAATGCTATGGAAATACTAGCAACTCAAAGAGGACTTCCTGGACATTCCCAGAGCCCATTCATCTGTGCTGAGAGTGTACCTCTGTTGTCATACCCAGGGCAGTGCCATCCTCCTTCACATTAGACAGTAAACTCCGGAAGGCAAGAAACAGAATTGGATTCATGACTCTCTACAGAATATCACTCCTCAAGCCTCTGACTTGTAACACCAGCATTCTAACAAACACCCAAACAGGAATTAGGATACCACCCGGGCCTTCCTCTCCATCACCCCCAACTAGACCCCAAATCCCATTCAAAATCCCTGAAACTCGCTTTCTCTCTGTTTGTCCTTCACTGCCTCTGGGCAACTTCTTGCCCTTGTTGGCCTTGCAGAAGCCACCTTACAGATAGGATATCACACTTCATGGATTATATGTGTGGTCCCATACTGCAGCCCAGTCTAGCCTGGAACTCACCATGTTTTCAGACTGCCCTCAAACTTGCAGCAATCCTTCTGCCTTAGCCTCCCAAATACTGAAAAAAATTACGGGTATACTAGACGTTGGTACCTGAGATGTTTAAGACTGATTTGGGATCTCTGGGCTTATAATCCAGTAATAGAAACCCAAATACTAAATTCATTTGCAGTTCTTCACTTAAAGGAAAAACAGTTCTGGAGTGAAGGAGGTGTGGCAAAGAAAGAGCGGTCTCCGGCCTTCTGTGTTCTGTGCCTGGCTTGTCATGTGCCTGCTTAGACTGGATGAGGTGACTGGATGAGGAGAACACTCCGACAGCAGCCTGTATTTAAGCCACCAGGTCATGATGCAACCCTCGAGCAACTCCGTACCTCTCTCAGGTAATGTGTCATAAACCCATCAATGATGCCATCTTGCTCCAAGCCTATGATGAGGTTCACCACGCTGGTAAATCCGAACACCGCATACACTGGAACAAAGGAAAATGAATGTCACAGGAGACAACAAGGATGGGGCATCCACCAGCCATCATGGAGCATTGCTCAGGTTTTCCCAGAAAATGCTGGGGCATTACCACACAGACAAGCAGACAGCACCTACCGCACACCAGCTGGACATTTACCTGTCTCCATGACTTCCCTGTACTTACCCAAGGCGCTCACTGAGGCAACTCATGTCAGAGACAGAGAATTATGTTGTCCCAGAAGATTCTTCCAGACTACCTCTACCATCCTCACTCCCTTCTCGTGAAATCCACAGCCCGTCTGAGCAGCAGGAGCCATGGCAGTAATCAAACAGCCAGATGGGTCATCTTAGTATGGCATGCACACCAACTAAGAGTATGTCCAACATTATTAGCTAGTCCTCCCTGGAGGTCCTCAAGACAGGTAGGTGGCTGTTGTGCAAGTGACAGTCAACAATTTAAGAAAAGGGCAGCCACTTTTTTGTTTGTTTGTTGCTTTGGTTTTGTTTCTTGTATTTCTTTTTTGTTTGTTTGTTTGTTTGTTTGTTTTTCAAGACAGGGTTTCTCTGTGTGGCCCTGGCTGTCCTGGAACTCTCTCTGTAGACCAGACTGGTCTCAGACTTGGAAATCTGCCTGTTTCTGTCTCCTGAGTGCTGGTATTAAAGGCGTGCACCACTACTGCCCACCAAAAGGCACACGAGGTGCTGGAAAGACGGCTCAGAGGTTAAGAGCACTGACTGCTCTTCCAAAGGACCAAGGTTCAATTCCCAGCACCCATGTGGTGACTTACAACTGTCTTTAACTTCAGTTCTAGGGGACCTGACACCCTCACACAGATATTCACGAAAGCAAAACACCAATGCACATAAAATAAATGCATTATAAAAAATGCCCATGAGATGAGACAGCTGAAGAGGCCCATGAGGCCCATGGATACTTCCTGCTGATTAGCACTTTGATTCCCAGGTGAGTAGCCATTGTGTCTCCTGGAAAATGAGGCACCCCTCTCCCAACTAGTCCTCTTTCCCTTTTACATACTAATCTCTGGTTCGCATGGTGAAATAAGTTTTGAAGAGTAAAGATGGAGAGGTAAGAGTCAAACTTACTCTGAAGGCTTGCACCAAATGACTTAAAAACATAGAAAAAGGGGCAGATATGAGAGGAAACATGATTCTTGTAACAGTTCTGGTTTTGGGATGGCAGAGATGATTGGTAGGAGGGGAAAGGGATGAAATAATGAGTCTTGATCTTAAAAGAGAAATATACAAGAATAACATTGAAGGCACAGAAGGAACACTTGACTTTTAGGAGAAGGGATATTTTTGGAGACAAATATAAGAAAGGAAGAAAACTGTAAAGTATGTTTGTGTGTGTGTGTGTGTGTGTGTGTGTGTGTGTGTGTGTGTGTGCAAACAGAGAAACTGGTCATTTATAATTCCCTCTCCTCCTTTGCCAAGGCTCACAGTGCTCAGAGAATGCTTCCCATGCCTTTGATGAGGGCACGCAGCCTGCTCTGACCTTAGGATGTAGCTGGAAGTGACAAGGGTCAACTCTAAGCAAGGCGTTGGGGACACACTTTCCTTATTTTAGCCCTCTGTGTATGCTTTGGGGAACTATGAACAGACAAGAGCACAGTACTAAATCTACCCACAGCCTGGAACAGGGCATCTCCCCAACGCACAGGCCAGTGAGCAAGGAAAATAGACACTCATTGCTAGAGACACAGAGATGTAAGGTATGTTTGACATCAGTAGAAACATAATGAATAAATACCCAACCTTGTGGCCCCAGGAAGTACCACAAGACCAGTTACAGCTTTGCCTGAGGCAGCATGTGTAATGAAAGGGGTCCGGTGTTGTTCTCCATGACCCTGACTACTTTTCTGGCATCTCTAGCTAGGCAAGTGGATAGATATTTATTATGAGTATTAAAATAAAACTTTTAAAAGGCTCAGAGCCTTGCCAGGCACATGATGTGCTCAACCAATGGCTTTTTTGTCTGTTATTTAATATACATGTTTATCTGTCAGGTGCTGATCAAAGTCTCTAACAAATGCTAATGTTGCCGGGTGTTGGTGGCGCATGCCTTTAATCCAGCACTTGGGAGGCAGAGGCAGGGGGATCTCTGTGAGTTCGAGACCAGCCTTGTCTACAAGAGTTAGTTCCAGGACAGCCTCCAAAGCCACAGAGAAACCCTGTCTCAAAAAATCAAAAAACAAAACAAAACAAAACAAAACAAAAAAAACCAAATGCTAATGTTTGACCAGCTCCCTGTGGTATTATTTTCCTCTTTAGACAAATGTGTAGACCAGCATTCTCAACCTGTGGGTCACAATCCCCGATATGCAACAGGAGTTGTATATCAGATATCCTGCATATCAGATATTTATATTATGATTCACAAGTAGCAAAATTACAGTTATGAAGTAGCAACAAAAAATAATCTTATGGTTGGAGGCCACCACAGCATGAGGAACTGTATTAAAGAGTGGAAGCATTAGGAAGGTTGAGAACCACTGGTGTAGATTGAGACAGGGTAAATTCAATCCCCCAGGCCAGCAGCCAGCTGAAGGCAGAGAGCCCAGCCTGGAGGCTGAGGTAAGAGCATGCTGGGGGCTCAACAGGGTGCCTGGAGGAGGCCCGCCTGGCCCTGCCAGTCACTGTCTAACAGAACTCTATTTAGAAAGTGGACACCACAGCTTTATAGGGGAGCTTAGAGAGAAGGGCCTTGTCCTGAACAGTCCTACACTTCCAGTTTCTGTCAGTCAGGGGCCCAGAACAGTCACAGCCCAGAAGGAATATGTACCCACTGCCAGAGAGAATACAAATCCTTTCCCTCTGAGGAGTCTACCTACCAGCCTACCTACCGTAGAACAGAGGGTCCCGAGGTGGTTTTCTTTTGACAAGGACCCGAGCCAAAAGGGCCACCAGGAGCAGGATGAGGGCAGCAACCCCAACAATGGTCCAGGAACTGTAAAAACCAAAGCAGGGAGGTGGTCACTAATCACAATAAACACAATGGTGCCTGGAATTTCCTGGCTATTGAAGGCTATTGCTCCTTGTGCTGCAGGAGGCTCCTGGAAGCCAGCCTCAATTCTGCCACTAAAAAGTTTCTGCAGTTTGTCTATAGCATGTTGGCCTCTCTGGGTCACAACCTCATAACACTCACAGACCAGAACCCAGGTCCCTCATTCATTTCTCCTTCCCACCTGTGCCTGTTTCTTCCCTACCCTCTCTTATCCCTAAAATGGCTGCAGCCCCACTGCCTCCACCTCCTGTTTCTCTAACCCTTCGCCCTGGAAGCTAACAGGCCTAACCGCTAAGTCTGCCACCTCCCCTGGGCCAGCCATAAACCCTCAGACTGAGCCTCAGTATGATTGCACAAGCCCTCCTGAGAGAGACCTTTAGTTCGAAGTGTGCTTCCCTGTGTGGTAGGCACTGCTGCTGGCCTTATGAGACTCCAGATGAACAAGAGAGGCCTCTGTCTACATGGAGGTGCTTACCTCCATGAGCTCTGAACTCTGCTTGCCGTAAGGGCACGCCAGCCCTACAGAGACACCCGGATTGCCAACACCAGCAGGGCTTCCGATTCTGGACAAATACCCACGTGGCCCTTTCTGTCAGCTATAATACCATCAGCCCTCCACTGCCACTCAGAGATGCTACAAGTAGCGGTCCTCAGCAGGGACACCTCCACATCATGGCCTAAACACTGGGATCTTCAGATAATCTTCAACACATACCTCTTGGGAAAGAGGAAACAATGGTGGAGAGAGGAAAGGGGGATGAATGGATGGAAGGAGAGATGACAGACAGGTGAATGAATGGTGGGTGGATAAGAGACACGGATGATGGATGGAGGGGTGGTAGATGAAAGACTGGATGGGTACATGGAGGAATTTTATAGTATGTAGAGAAGGAGACTGGTCTGTATGTTGGGAAATTTCTGATACCTCACACCAGTAGATTCTCCAGGCGCTTTACAAAGGTCCAAAGCAGAGGGAGGAGAAGCAGCCATGGCTCATAAGCATGATGCTGCTCTAAGATACCCAGGGAGGAGAGAAGCAGGTGGGTGAGCCACATGACAGTGTGTGAGCCTAGAGGCAGGTGCTGGTCAGCAGACATCCCTATCCCTGGACACCAATGGCTGAGCTCACAACCAGCCTGGGCTCTGATCAAGTATGACAGGCAGCATGAATTAGTTCAGGGTGTCCTCTCATGTTCTCTACCTCTGAGGTAGGAAGACAAGTGAAGAGAAACTGGGGCAGTAGGTCATTTCTGCCTCCTAGCTCTGTTCCTGGAGAACCTCTGGGGAAAACAACACATGCCCAAGGCAGGTAGAAGCAGGTCTAACTGGGACTCCAGGTGATGGGTGGAGGGAACTTTGAATAAGCCATGGGTTGTTAATCTTGAGTGGTAGAAGTTACTCTTTGATGAATCAATCCTCTGGGCTGCCTTACAGCCCTTTCTAGGCTGCTCCCCCAGCAAACACCAGGCTAGCCCTCCCTCCCCACCCCTCCTTCCCTAGCTATCGCATACCCCAGAACACCTGCAAGGTTCTGTCTCCAGATCTCACCATAACTGAACATATGTGGGTGCATGTGAGAGACCCCCTAACCTCTTCCTGACCCTTCAATCTATCTGATCATCCTATTTCTCAGAGTTTCATAAAGGCCTTGGGAAACAGAAGCTCAAGTCGTGAAAGACGAGTGTAACTGAAAGCCTGTTTGCTGCACACACGGCTGAGCAGAGCAGTACCCAGATGAGCAGCAGCCTGGGAAGGTGAGCTCTGGCCACAGAAAGGAACTCTGTGGGGAAAGTGAGCCATGAGTCTCAGGGGGCTCAAAGGAGAAATGTCTGATTTGGAGGGAGGGAGGACCCACAAATGAAGAAGGGGCAGTTTCATTTATGCAGCGCCATCAAGTTAAGTGTGTCATCAGCAATC